GCTATACGGTTAAACAGTCTTTTATTTACAGTTAAAGCCTCAAGTGGGCGCACGATAATAATAATACATCTTCTTCGTCTGAGGCAGGTCAAAAGAGAATAAAGAATTGGAAACTAAAAAACTCTTATGGGATCAAGGGTAAAAAGGTTGTGGAAGAAATAATGTTGGACTAAGTGTAAGATACACTAGTGAGGGGAAGGAAGAAGCCAATCAAGGATCTTTTGCCCAAGGTGAGGGGGGCGAAGAAGGCGGACGCTTTTGGTGATGGAGGTAGTCAAGTTCAAAAAGAAGAGTACAGATAGCTGGCCAACGGATGGTCCATGAGAAAGCGGTTTGAAAGGAGCGTGGTTTCTTTATAGGTAGCATGTTCAAAAGGAAGGGTAATAGATCAGAAATTATTTCGGGTATCATAAGTCGGCGGTGCATCTGGAGACAATGAATGGTGTGGGCTTTGGTGAAGGATTGGTTGGGGTGCTGAGGACAGGTTTTGTCGTGACCATTGGGAAGCCAACCAAGGCGCCAACGTATACAGCGACTTCTCTCAGATCTGGTCATTGGTAGCCAAAGGATAGGGTCTAGGGAGATAGTCGGGCGACAGTGTATAAGAAGAACAGAGGCGTACGTAGAGCGTTTGTGATTGAAGTTACCTTGGCGGTACTTCCTTTGCATCAATCGTAATAAGCGGCGATCAAAGAATTCTGGGTTTGGTGAGTATAGTTTTCAAATGGGGGACCTATAGAGCTTATACCATTGGGAATGACTTCTAGATTGGCGGATCAATGGGAGAATATGAGAAAGTAGTGAATTATCTGGGAGGGTATGGGTACGTAGAAGGAATTGGAACTGAAGGAAGTAAGCGCGTTCCTGCATGGTTGGTAGGTTTGCCAGGTGTAACATCACTGTTGCGGAGGAATTATGCGAGTCCCCAAAGATTCAACGTATGCAGGTATTCTGAGCGTCATCTATTTATTTGCTAAGGAAGTAGCCTTGGTTAACCTGTTATACAGTATTTCCAAAATTATTGATACTGATGCCAAGAGTAAAATTCGCGCTTGTTAAATTCTAATGTCACTTAAATGTCGTATATGTAGAAGCATTGTCGTACAAAATATATGTATATTAAGTGTCAAAGCATTGTCAGTTCTCTTTTTTCTTCTTTTTTTTTTTTTACTCCTTTTCTCATTAAAAGCCGAGTGTTATAATATGAGCTTTCAAATTTTCTATGAAGACGGGCACGGTAATGCAGCTGATGAATACGGTAGGCCTGAGCCTATGGACTACAATATTGATGAAGAGCGATATGCTTTAGAAACAGTTAGCTCACACACCCAGTATTTGCATAATCAGCCTCAGGAGAATAATTTCGTCGTAGCCTCTATGGCAGATGAAGATGCAAAAAATGACCCAGATGTTTGCATGAAGGAGGCATCGAGTAAGCGAGCGTACACACTCTATACGGATCAGGACAAAGTTAGATTCTTTAAACTGATGTTTGAGAAAGTTATGGGTGCCTCAGCTGATGCGAAAGAATTAGGTATTCATTTTCGCACAGCTTAAAGATAGGCTCAAATGTACAAAACTGATCCTGATAGTGTTTTTATAAAGCATAAGAAAACCGGTCGCTCGCGTATACTTCAAGAACACAAGCAGGTGATCTTGGAGTACATAGATGAGAGTCCTTTAGCCGCCTTGGAGCAAGTAATGGAGCGACTACTTCAAAAGTTTCAGGATCTCAAGGCCTCTAAAAGCACTGTCTATAATTTTGTAAGAACTGAATGTAGTTTGTCATTCAAAAAAAGCCCAATTTTCAGCCTGTAAATAGGAACAGTGAAGAAAAAATTCAGGAGCGTTTCGACTGGGTTCGTAAGTGGGGGGGGGGTTTACGAACATGGACTTTAGAACTAACTGCGTCTTTCTCGATGAGTCTGCATTTCATATTAATTTGAAACGTAGTATGGCCTGGTCAAAAAAAGGATTGCATGCTGCGGTTACAGTGCCCAAAACCCGAGCACAAACAACAACGATTTTAGGTACGATCTCTGCTTCAGAATTAATAAAGTATAGCCTGAGATTACCGCAGCCGTCAGCCAAGAAAAGAAAGAGAGAAGGTTATGTTGAGTTAACGAGCACAGGGACAGTAACTGGTCATTATTTTAGCTTTCTGAAGGCCATGATGGATGAAATAGATCAGTACCCACATATGAAATGGTATTATTTTGTTATGGATAGCGCTATAAGACCTCAAATCCCAGAATCCTGACGTCGTTCAAGTTGAGCAAGCCCTTTCTCAACAGCCAAGCAGCACCGTATCCGTAGAAGACTTTGGCCGCTTCCTTCAAGCCAGATCTTAACAGTCTGCCGTTCTCAGTCTATTCTATGGACACACCATCAAAAACCATGATAATGGATACCCTCCCTTTCGTAAGGTCCGTCTTTCAGCGTACTTCAACAAACAACGTGCCGATCAAAAGCTTATTCAAGACTTACGCGCCAAGTTTAGAGAAGACTCCGTGTTTATGATGGGAAACTGGTCCGCTCCCCATGCTAGGTATCATGAGCCCATTCGTGGTCTTGGTTTCCGAAGACTCCTCAAGAAGCATGGGTTCCAAGTCTATCTTATAGACGAGTCCAAGACCAGTAAGTGCTGTCCAACATGCCACAACGAAAGCCTCCGCACGCTCCGTCGTGTTCCAAATCCACGGCCTTTTAAGGTAATAATACATTAACCACTTAGATGACTTTATATTGATTGAACATTGTTTGTAGATGCACCAACCTATACTGTAGACCCACCATGGCAGTACCAGATAGATATCGTTTATGGAACAGGGATGTTGCTACTTGCCTCAACTATATGCACATTCTTCGTGGGCTTCGGCGTAATGGCATGGTTCCTCATAGGTTTCGCCGGGTTGTTGTTGCTCCTACAAGACGTCGAAGAAGAGTGGACGATCAGGAGCAACCAAGAACTAGAATACGCTTAGACAATGATTCTCCGTCGTAGTTATCGCTAGGACACATCTAGATGCCTTCGGGGTAAGTTATATATAGTAATTTTCTTGCATAGTTAACTGTATAATTCTTTATATTCTCTCCTTGGTACTTATCACTCTCATTTGTATGTCGTTTCCTTTTGCATGCGTTTTATTTTTAACCTTTGCGCAAATACTTTTTTTAATATGCGCCAATTATTTTTTTCATACACGTCATAATTTTATCCTCTTTCTGAAATTTATTTTTAATAAAACAGTATAACCTCAAATGTCAAACACATTTTTAGCAACAGATTGCATCTGGCCCCTCTGACCAAAGAGGACGACAGCCTTTGCTTGCTAATGTATCCTAATTTATGTCCATTAGGTGCATGTTCTTTCTAAATTTATATAAAAGTAATTATTCTATCCGTTGCTATTATCAACATAATAAGGATAATTGCCTTAGCAACGCTGCTTCTCTACTGCCAAGTATATAAAACTCTGAATCTAGCGCACACATTTTGCCGACAAAGGAATCATTATTAAAAAAAAAAAGAACTCTTGGCTCAGAAAATAAATTAATAGAAACTGTTTTTCTTCTTTTTTTTTTCTTTGTAAAAGCTCGATGGCAAGCAATCAACCTCCTGCCGCCATGCAACACATGCCACAATATATTGCTCAATATCAACAGAGTATTGAGCTTTTAAACAACAACATCATGGCAATACGTAGAAATCTCGAAAGAACAGACATTAGTCAGGAGGAAAGAGAACATTATAAAAAACAAGAACACGAATTGCAATCAAAGCTTACTGTCCTTCAAGCATTGATCAACAACCTTGCGCCTCAACTAGTTGCTCAAAGCATACAACAGCGTGTCTTATCACAGCAACCCCTACAACCCAATCAACAACAGCAACAGCAGCAGCAGCAACAGCAACAGCAACAACAAATTGTTAATGACAACACAAGCACACCTGGGTCGCCTGCAACATTTCAGCAACAACCACAACAGCAGCCACTTGTTAATTTTGCAAACAACCCTCAATTACGTAAATTGGCTTAAAAACTCGATTCACTAATCTTTTCTTGCTCATCACATTCATTTGTATAGGTGCAGCGCAACAACAGCCAGCTGTAAATAGAATGAACTTGTCACCCGCTGCAGCTGCTGCTGCGGCCGCTGCTGCTCAAGCCGCCCAAGCTGCAACGCAAAATCAAGCACAATTCTCTTCGCCTGCAACTGCCACTCCAAGCAATGCCACGTTTGTCAATCCAATGTTAACAGCTGGAATCAAGCCTGCTCCCAATGTAGCTGCTCTTGCCTCTGCTGCTGCTGCTAAAAACAACAACATGTTTACATTCAATGCCAACAGCAATAACCCTAGCAACTTGTCCAACGCTAATAATCAAACTGCTAATACAGGCGCTGTCATGCCAAATAACAATATATCAATGCCATCAACTGTACCTGCACCTAAACCCTCAGCACCTTCATTAGATCATGATGGAGTCAACAGAGTCCTAACAAAACGTAAGATTCAGGAATTGGTTGCTCAAATAGATCCTTCAGAGAGATTGGAACCTGAAGTAGAAGATGTATGTAACGAGTTGATCAAATAAAGGGGGGACAATTGATTTAACTTCTTTTGTAATAGATTCTATTGGAGATTGCTGATGAGTTTATTGAATCAGTCACTAATTTTGCCTGTCGACTAGCCAAGCATCGAAAATCAGACACTTTAGAAGTAAAAGATGTGCAATTACACTTAGGTAATCAGACATAAAGTAATAAAGGATCATGGCTAAATCATATTTAGAACGTAATTGGAATATTCGTATACCAGGATTTGCGGCAGATGATATCAGGCCTTTAAGGAAAGCAGCCGTCTCATCTGCACATCAAAGCAAAGTACAGGCTGTGAACACAGCTAAAAGTCAATTGGCATCAAACTCAAAGAAGGATTAACCATTAGTATATGTTCTTAAATAAAAAATACTTTTTGTGTACAATCAATCATTAGTTTTCTTTGTTATAAAATTGGATTTTATTAGCTTAATGGTTGCAATATATTCAAAAGGAAGAGAATGCAAGATAAACGATTGAAAGATTGAAGAAAGTGATCAATGTATGAGTGTATTATGCGTGTTGTGTATATGTAACTGGAGATATATCGTTGTCAACAACGATATAGGGAGGAATTTAATGCTTTTTTTTTGGTTTAGTAATGAATTGCGAGGGGGGGTATAGTTGTAATGTTCTTCGTTCAACAAAAGATTTGGTATATACTGCAAAAGAAGATGATAACTACTCAAGGCATTTCTACTTGATGGTTAATGAGATTGATACAGGCTGAGCGAAGTTCACATTCCTTCCAATCACGGTTGTTCAAATCGAGTGCAACAGATCTCCAAGCTTGCTTGAACAAGTGCGTGTTTTTCTTGATTGAGCTTAATAAGATACGGTCTTCGTTCACCGACCAGCCCTTTCTTTGAGAGCTCTTTGCGCGTAATGTCTTGAAACGACCCCAGCAGCAGCCTCGAGAACGATGCGGCAAATACTTGGCGGAGATCATTGCCCAGGAGAGTCCTTGCAGATAACCCTTTTGTAGCAAATAATCTTCAGCGACAGTCCAAGGGATACGTGTTTGCTGTTGTTGTTCCTTTGGTTTACCAGGGAAGGTTGTAGGTGAAGATGGTACAGTGTCTGAAGAAGAAATCGAGGATGCGCTTGACCATGACATTGAAGGAGATGCATAACTATAGTCAAAGTTTCGCTTTTCATATAGCTCGACTGTATCATTAAGCAAGTTTTTGACATCCATTTCACTTTGTGATATCTATATGTATTTATGTACTTGTATATGTATAAGACTATTTATAAATGTGGAATGAAAGAATTAGTTTATATATTATTTGCAAGCAAACGATATATAGAAAAAGAATATAAAAAGAAAGGAAATTTAAAAAGAATATGTTTTCGTATAAAAGGAAAAGTAAAAGAAAAAGGAATGGTCTATTTATATATTTTACCCTTCTTAACTGATCAAAATATATGCAAGGGACGTGCATTATGAACATTCATTTTAGCAAACAATCCCCTATCTGTCCTTGAGACCTGACATAATATCGAAATCATGTAAAAAAAAGGAGAGTTAAGCTGAAGAGATATATATATAATTTATTTACAGGAGCTTTAACAAAGCATGTATAAAAACAGTAGCAAAAGAGGAGGAGTTTGGTAAAGATTTAAAATCAAGCCTAGACTTCCCCTTTTGTATCATGGCTTGTCAAAAATGCCCTGTCAATAATATGGCTTTCAATTGGTAACTTTGATAGGCAGGCATAAAAAAAAAGGGAGAGGGGGAGGGGAAATAATTGATTGTAAGAATATGAGCCTACTTGTCTCATTAAAAGCCTGCTTTATATGTTTAAGTTGTTCTTTTTATGAATTTTTTCTTTATTCTTCGATAAACGTAACTCTAACTTACTTTAAGTAATCTAGATACACTTCATTGCAAAAAGGAGTATTTAGGAAAGGAGCAAGTTATTGAGTCATCAAGACATCATGACTAGATATAAGAAAAAGAAGCTTATTTGGGTTTTTTTTCTTAATTAGTGATCTACCATAAAAGAAAGGTAACGGACCATATGCTTATTGTATTAGCTCATATCCTCACAAAGAGAGAGAGAGAGTTTCCACCCGTTAGTGTTTACCTTCCGTGTTTAACTTTAAGGGTATGCTCTAGCTCATTACTATAAATGTGAATTTTCTCATTTTGTGTATGCAAAAGGGCGTTTGATCCTCTCCTTATTTGTATTGATAATTAATTACTTTGCTTGAGGGAGAATATACTTTCTTTATTTATTGATGATTTTGATTACCTTCTTTTTTTTTGTCATTGTAGAAAGCTACTGATCGTCAACTATACTCAGGTCAATTTCCGAAATGATGCGTTACGCTCTTTACCAAAATAGATTAAACAAATGAAGCACGCACCTATCCTTTTCTTTTTATCTTTCCTCTCCTTCGTTGTTTTCGCTGAACTGCCTTATAGAAGAATATTATCTCCTGTCCTTACTAAGCGGTTTCTAACCTTGTTTCTTTACATACCACAGTATAACCCTGAAGTTACTGTTGTCATTTTTACAATAATGACTCTTAAGGTTATGTGGCAAGGGAATCATTTGCTTAACGTGATTCAAGCATTATCAATGTCATTCATTCCTTAGTTCCCTCAAGTGATCACGTTAAATGTAAAGTTTCTGACGCTTACGACTATCATTGCATAGTATTTCAAAGAATAATGAACATCGTAAAGAATATACATTTCGTCAAGAGTTATCATCAACATCAAGTTATGAGAGAGATAAGAAAATAGAGAATCATGCGCATGACAACTATGATCAGCTTGTTGGTTTGAAGCATTGACATAAGCGTCTTTGTAGTAAATACAAAATAGTTAAGATTGTATACTTTATGCTCATTATTTGCTTAAGTAGGCTCTGTAAGCTTATTTGCTTTGTTACCCCTTCCTTATATCTAGTTTTATATTTGCGGCAAACGATAAACAATAGCCAACATTATTGAACCTTAACAACTTTTGTCACATTGCCTTGCCTGCGCCCATTCTCATTCGGCTGAACTTATACCGGCTTCGTGAGGATAGTGCTTTACATAGTAATGTGTGCTAGTTTGAATAAAGTAATGAAAGGAGAGTTTATAAAAGATGGTCTCCTTGCTAATGACACTTCAAAAAAAAAAAAGAGAGAGAATGAAAATGGCATATAAAATTTTAGCAATAGCACGACAATAACCTTGAGAATGTCATTGGGAATATGTTTTATAAGGTGGTTGTGACTCAAAGGATATCAAAGGATGCAACGTAGCCTTCAAATGTCCTTTTACAATCCTCTCTATCCTGCATCAATATATATTTTTTAGAAAACTTTTTATTGCTTGGTGCTTGATCCAAACTTTTGCAAATGGCGCAAACTTGTTGGCTAGAAACAGATAAAAAAAAAAATACATCATGAGAAAGCTCCATTTCATTGACAAGATAGCACAAGGAGGGGAGAAGGGGGAGTAATGAAAAAGTAAAAAAAGTGGCTACATTTACAGAAAAAGGATGTGGTTAAAGCATTAGGCTGCTGTTTCTAAGGGAGATTCAAGTCTAATATAACTTGGAGAAAATGTATTTCTAGAAATGTGAAAAAAAGTAGGGAAAGGTACTACAAGGGAAATGGTAGGAAAATGTAAATGAAAAGGGCATCAGGATATTTACTCTTGGGTATATTGAGCGCTTTGGGTAGCTGTCATATAGAGATATACTACCTTAAAATGGATAGTGTGCCCGTTTATGCTCCCCTTGCTTATTTTCCTGGAAAAGTACTCCAGTTGTGAAAGGTAAAATCGCGATTCTCCTCTATCAGAGATGATCGGAGTACAGGCTGTTCCTTAATGAGCATATCTGTCAATATGTACTGTATAATATCCTGAGAATGTACAGCCGTAGTAGATAGACTCAAAAGCCCTTATTCTAACTTGACCGAGCACACGCTTTGCATAACTGCAGAAAGGATTTTGCTGTTTGTCAACTCACTTTTGAAACCTTGAGAATATCTTAACATTGACCAATTTGATGACAAATGTTACGGCATTACCTTTGCAGGTATAAATTACCACTTTCGGTTATTAATTCTTCCGCTCTACTCCCTACTGCCATCAACCAACGCCTTTACAAAACAAAGAATAGAAGAGGTTGGTATTTTTCTGTAACCTTTATAGAGCCTAATCTCAGGAAAGGTAACACTTGCCTTGCTATCAAGTTCTCTCTCTTTCTCTTTTTTTGTCAATGTACACCTCCAAGTACAAGGAGAGGTAGAATAAAAGGGAGTAATTTGGAATTCCATGCATGCTTTAACTGCTATTGATTGTATAGCTTGATAAACCATAAAGAAAATGATCCCTCTTGAAATGTAAATAAGAAAAACAGATCCCTACTGTATTTGGTGATGACATGTTTAACAAGCACTGCATCAAACTATAAGACAATTAAGACAGTAGACATGGGTTCGTTAAAAAAAGTCTTGAAGAAATTTGATGATATTTAACTAGTAGAATGTAATATCATTGCCATAGTGCTGCATTAAATTGCATTGACTATATTCGTGACCATGGTATCCTTTCTTATGCCTGAAATTCAGACTGTCTAAATTTGGAGTGACAAGAATCTTTCAGCTAGATTTGCAAGTATAGTTTTACATAATTTCTGAGCCAAACCATTCTCACGCTTCCAATTTAAAGAAGTGTCGTAACACATCAGGTACTGAAAGAACGCTGTACTTGAGAAGATAACTACAATTTATTCCATGATTTATTCCAAGATTTATTCCATGATTTATTCCATTTCTGCTTCCTTAATTTAACAAATCAACAGCCCTATCAATGCAATCATTATTGTTGTCTCAATGTGCGTAAATGTGTCACGGTAAGCTGCGGCGAGTGTCACGGTAAGCTGCGGCAAGTGTCAAGGCCATTTAAATAAAGTTAGTGTTTGTTCTTTTTCTCCTCTTTCTTTCCATTTCAATTATGCCTCATTGTTGTTATTCCAAGGGTTCAAAAGATGGTGACTTTTGCTCATCAAGTGCTTTTAATCAATATGCGCCTAACAAAGTGATTGAGCCTATCCATTTAGGTATTCAAATAAGCCTTATATACACACGTAATCATATTAACCAAATAATAAAAAGATATCAATCTGCAGTTTGAGGAACTTACAAAGAAGACCTTGAAAGGAAAAGTTACCCTCACTTTTAAACATACAGGAAAAGCACTCATTTCAAACAAGAATGACTTGTCAACAACTGTGCTCAATGCAGAAGAGTTTGAAAATGTCAAGGTGATCAGTGTTGACGGAGAGCAGATCTCTTACAGATATGACGGACATCTTATTCATTTACACTGGGAGACACCATTTGCTGCCAACGCTGAACGTAAAGTTCTAATTGAATATGATATCGAGGATCCTATTGCTGGTTTGTATTTTCAGCAAGAAGAAGACTCATCGCACTGGGCTGTGACCGATCACGAAACGGAAAAGTAAATAATTCCCTTAAAAGGGATTTTGACTTTCAAATTGAGCTTTATTTGCATAGAGCTCGTTATTGGTTACCTACAGTTGACTATCCCACTGTTCGAACTACCTTAACCTGGACGATCACTGCCCCAGAAAAGTATAGCTCATTAGCCAACGGATCTTTATTGGAGACGACTACGGTTAATGGATTGACATCCACTCGTTGGGAGCTAACTTACCCTTGGTAAGATAATAGAGAAATGGACTTTACGGTTGCTAATGGATACATAGTCCATCCTATTTGATTTGTTTTGCTGTTGGTGACTTTATATCTGTAGATGATGAAGAAGTAGATGAAATTCCTATCAAGGTATTTATATCAGTAATATACTTGGTCACATGTTGTTTTTTACTAAGTAGAAATTAGTATTTCACATCCACGAAATATAAGACAGAGGATCTCAAGAGAACGTTTGATAAAACGCCTTCAATGATCAAATGGATTCAGAAAAAAGTGGGTGTTTCATGTAAGTTAAAAAGAATGATCAATTTGGACATACATCAATACATACAACCGTAGTTCCCTGGACAAAGTACTACCAGATTGCCCTTCCAGCAAGCCGCGGTGCAATGGAAAACATCTCTCTGGTAACGTATAATCAGAGTTTATATTATAGCTGATGCTAACAAGCAATACAATCTTATAGGTAACTTGGGGAGATTATTTTGTGATGGATGAAGTTTATGCTCTGGAACGCAAGCTATTTGCTGATGTTGTCAACATACACGAAATGGGTAAAGTATGATTGGTTTACATGAATGGCTTTTAATACGATCATAGCACACACCTACTTTGGTAATCTTCTTGTTATTCGTCATTTTGAGCATGCTTGGTTGAAAGAAAGTTGGGCAAATTATATGGAATCATGTAAGGCGCTATAGTGCTCTCTTCATGACGTAGCTTAACCTTCTATCATATCTTTAGGTTGGATAGAGGACCATTTATCTAAAGAAGATTTTGACTATGATTTGTTCTCTAATGCCCAAAGTTATTTTGGCGAATGTGAAAGATATATGGTAAAAAAAGAATGCCTTAAGCTCATCTTATAATAACTTTTTTGCTTATTTAAACCTAAAGCGTCCCATCGTTACCCGCAAATACGATTCTTCTTGGGACATGTATGATTCACACACTTATACCGGTGGAGGTTGGCGAATTCATATGCTTCGAAGGCTTTTGGGCGAAGATGCATTCTGGACAGCCGTTAAACACTATGTTGAAAAGTATTCATGTAAAACTGTCCAAACAACAGACTTTCAAAATTGTCTGGAAGAAGCATCTGGTCTGAATCTCACTCGCTTTTTTGATGAATGGATATACTCCAAGGGTCATCCTAAGCTTAAGGGCACATATGAATACGACATGAAGGCAAATGTTGTAAAGGTCACGCTGACTCAGACTCAAGTTGATGCAGATAACCAGATCCCTCTCTTTGCATTTGATTTAGATATTGAGCTGACAACGTCAGGAAAGAAGACTGAGACTGTTACTGTAACATTTGACAGAGAAGACAAGGTTACTGCTATTATTGCATTACCCAAAGACGTTAAACCTGCTGCAATTCGAATCGACCCTGAGAACAAAGTTTTGTTCACTTTGGATATGTCTGCTGAACAAGATATTTTGATTGAAACTGCAAAAAATGCTAAAGATATCGTCAATCGTATCTGGGCATTCTCAGAATTAATCAACAAGGCCACTAGACCTGCCTTAAAGGCCGTACGTGAATTGATTAAAGAAGAGCCATTTTACGGTGTTCGTGTTCAAGGTATATATCAATTTTTTAAAGCAAAATAGTTGATATGACTAAACATCTATATTAGTGGCGAGTAAACTTGCCAAGTTAAATAGCACCCTGAGCATAGATATACTTGCAGATATGTTGACAACAGAGAAACACCCTTTAGCTCTTGCACCCATTGCCACTCAATGCAAAACACAGGACAATAGACTTCGTCAAGCATTGATCAACTTCCTTCAAAGAGAAAATCTCCCCTACATGTATGTATCCCAAATATGTCTAGATCTTCTACTAAGTTCATATCGTCAACTAGTGCCCATGGTAGTGCTCTCATTTCTCTTGGATCTCAACGAAACAAAGATGATTTATCCTACCTGATCCAAGTAGCACAAGATGACAGTAAAATTGGGCAGCATGCACTTGTCCGATCGGGCGCCTTGACAGGTAACCATTTTGTTTGTCATTATAAACCTCACATGTAACTATTATTTTTTGTAGCTTTGGGTAAACATCGTAGTAAAAACGCCTTTGAGTACCTTCTTGAGCGTGTAGAAAGTGGTAAAGAACCCCTTCGTGCTAAGCCATTCATAATCAGAGCTTTGGTTGAATCATCCCCCTGGCAAGAAGAACTTTTACAGAAACAAGTGAATGAGATACTACGTATGTGAATGAAAATTAGAAACCTGTCGTCTAACTCATACTTTTATATAGTCAAGCTGATAAGACACTTTGATCGTCAGGTACGCTCTGCCGCTGTTGCTGGCCTTGCTAATCTGAAGGATAAGTCTGCGTATGAAGCTATCGAGTCCACTCGTTGTATGTATGCAAAAGACGATCAATCATGGATGAATCGTCAACTAAAGAAATTGAAGAATACTAAATCTGCTGGTGAAGAAGTTTCCAAGGAGCTAATTGAGAAACTTGAAGAACGCGTCAAAAAGCTAGAAGATGAACTTTATGCAATCAAGGTTGAAAATGAAGTCAATTCTAAAGAATCCGAACAGGAAAGCAAATAATACTTCTTCAGGAACTATTCGCACACAATTTAAAACCAACAATAATTACACTTTAGTTGATTATTAATCCTTTCTTTATTATTTAAAAGACAACGAATTTTATCTTTTTCAGAGAAGATAAATGTGGCCAACACTTATAAAAAACTTGAACTGAAAAAGCTGTTGTCTCATTTGTTGTCTGAAATTATCATCAGTGTGCGAATAATTTGTGAATAAAGTGTATGTCAAAAAGAAATAAAAAGCATGTTCCAATTCAACTTGTTACTGATTCTTTTTTTGCTTGTTATAAACAAGATAAATAGCAATTGAAAGAATTCTAGATTAACAAACTAAACTTTTATTTGACAAATCAAAGTGTATATTGTCATAGTTTACTATAGAAACAAAAAAGATAAATACCAATGATACCATATTATTGTCACTTATGTTACCTGCTTCATAGCGTCCTTCTTTCCCTTGCGTTCAAGAATAGCATTACGGCTCTTGTCCAACTTCAAGTTTGTGATAACAACCTTGGAAGCGCTAATGCCAATAGGAACAGTAGCACCGTTCACCTTTTCACGGGTGACACGATCAATGTGAATAACCCACTTCTTACGGTAGACTTGAACAACCTTTCCTTCACGGCCCTTGTAGGTACCACGGACAACCATGACAGTGTCGTCCTTGCGAACAGGAATGGAGCGAACGCTGTACTTTTCACGGAGTTCTTTGGATAAAGGTGAGCTCATGATCTTGCGACGAACATCGGAGGTGGCAGTGAAGTGAGCCTTTCTGCTCTTTCTACGGGAAGAACTGACATCTAACAAACAAAGAGGTTGAGTTTTTATGAGTCTTTAAAGAAGTGGTGGATTATTATTCTTCATTAATTAAAAATGAAGGTAGTGGTTGAGATGTATCCATTGACATTTCCATACTGAATTCTGTCACTTTTTTTATCTTTCCCCCTCTTCTCCTTCCATCCTTCATTTTTATATGTGTTGTAATAAAGAATAAATCCATCCATCTATTATAAAGCATATTTACCAGCAGAGAATTTCATCTTGTGTTAGAAACGGATGAATATGAAAAAGGAGAGAGAAAGGATCTTTTGGACATTGCTCTTCTTTTGCCCTTGGCTGTTCCAGACATACACTTTCCCCCCTTCAGCTCTCACACACACAACTGTTCTGGTCCCTCAAGGTTCAGCATTTGTCCGGACCGAACATGTGACAATTCTCTATTTAATACTGAGATTGAATTACGATCAATGCTTTGCAGTTACTCTTTGGCTGCATTAACAATGATGTAAAAACATCAAGGCTTTACATGCCTAAGCTTTTACAACAGTGGTTGTATGGTTTAAAATTTTTTAGTATCTTGAAAAAATACTTAATGATTACTTGGAATAATAGAAAACAAGTGAAAGACATGTTTATTGTCCTTTTACAATTATGCAAATGTCTAATGTTTAGGATTTTTGACAGTTGCCTGAAAAAAAGAAAGAAGAAAATGAAATGAAGTACAGATATATATTGAATATGGCTTTGCAGATCAAAGAATAGTGTATATCGGTATTTGAATGAACTGTTTAATTGTAAAAAAAAAACACTGATCCCCTTTATTTAAATCTGCTTTCTACCTTTTCTTTTTTATATTTTTTTTATTCATAATTTACAGAAATTTATGCCAGTTACAGTTCTTTTTATTTGCTCAAAATAGTTGTAAAAATAGATTTGTCAATATGCTTTTACTATTCACCTATTGATTATTTTATTTATTTTAAAAAAGCAACCATGTTTTATTATGTGAAAAATAAAAAGTAGAGGTGTTTTTTTTTTGAAAATAAACTTTAATTTCCTAGACTGAAAGGATGTTGCAAATAAATATTTACTTCTGCTGCCTTGGAAATTCTCCATACATCAGTGAGGAGCTTGTAGAAAATCAGTAGACATACCATTCTATATACACAAAATAAGTTTATATTCATATCTTTACACAACAAATAAGCACTACCAGTCGACCTAATAAGTTCAAAAGTTGGACACGAGCAAGTTCAACATGGGCAGCATTGCCGATAAGGATGATTTCAGGACTAGTTTCAACATTGATTGCAACGTCGACCTTACATCTCTGTCCGAGGTCATTGAGAGACTGAGCAAATTCGGGGTGAAAGTAAGAACAAAATTGGTTAGGAGTTGGATAGATAACCATCTAAGGTAAATTGTATCAGTCATTTTGCTTGTATCGTAACATAGTACATTGCTTACCATGATAGGATGAAAAACGATTGTGTCTTTAGAAGAACGAGAAATATCAGTAGCGTCGGTGCCAGCAGCAAGGCAGCTGTAATGAGGTTCCACAGGCTCTTGAGAAAAAGAGGGTAGAAATAGCAAATTATCAATATTAATAGGAAGACAGAAAGATTGTATAAACATTTTAGGTTCAGTGAAACGCAAGAAAGGAAAAGTAAGAGTAAAATGATAGTTTTCCTTGTTGAATTAGTTGTTTCTTTATATTTATACAAATTTCCGTCTTTTCTTTTGCTTTTACATGAGTTACTTATTTAAATCTACCGCGGTGGTATCTTTTAGAACCAAAATATAAACATGTCATTTTATACTATTACATAATAATCTTGTTTTACGAGCATATGTTCTTTTGTATAGATTGTGCTCTTGTGATCTTTTTTTACTAACAAGATACTGTCAACTCTTTCAAGTATATGTTAAATAGACCCTGAGAGATTTCTAGAAACGACAGTGATTTCAATATTAACCACGCTTTCTATAATTGAATACTTCAGCTTAGAGCTAAAGATTTTCACTTTGCGTTATTCCCATTGCTAACTGTTGATATGTAGTTATTTTTATGTTGAAAAAATAATTATATTTGACATCATTTTTTTGTTCTCATCTTTTATATATGTGCTATAATAGGTTGAACATAACCTATAGAGCGGTTGATCAATTATGGTTTATGAAATGCTCTAAGGAAGAGGGAAAGACGGTCTATACGAGAGGAAGGAAGAAAGCAAACACCAATTTCAGGTACACATAGATTGAACTCCAGCCATCAAAATTAAAAGTCACAGACTACATATGAATAGCAAGCCCCCATTGATAAAAAAAATATTTCTATCCACTATGCAAAGTTTTAGACACAGTGCTCTTAGTTCTCGTGTAGCTCCTAAACTCAAGTCAGTACATCCCAAAGATAAACTCAAGCAATGGAATATTGTTACTGGTGACAAGGTTAATTTGCAGCCATTTCTATCTTTTTAGTCATATTCACATGTTATATAGGTCGCCATTATTGCAGGAAAGGACAAAGATACTATTGGTGAAGTCAAATCAGTCGATCGTAAAAACAACACTCTTATTGTCGAAGGAAAGAAACTGGTATGAAGTAGCAATCGTGGCTTGAAATCTTTAACTCACTTTCGATCATCTACAGGCAAAGAAGCACGTACCACAGCAACCTGGATTTCCAGACGGTATCTTTAGAAAGGAGATGCCCATTCACTATTCCAATGTCATGTTACTTCACCCTGACACACAGTAAATAGAGAACAAAAGAGAATTATAAAAGAAAAAGAGATAGATTGAAGCTAATCACGCCCTGTAGGATGCCCACTCGCATCGATAGACGCAAAGTTGAAAAGACACTAGAAGACGGCCGAATTGTGTCCAAATGGACACGATTTGTAAAAGGAACAGATATTGAAATTCCCAAGCCTGAAAGAAAATACAACGATCAAGGAGAGGAACAATTTACAACAGCACCCGAGGATGTGCTTGCTGTCACATATAAACCGGATCCTACACAACCCCCTTTCCCTTCTGAAATTGTCAGAGAACTTAGAAACATATACAAGAAGAAACCAGCAACAACAGCATAAGTGTGTATAATAATAATAAAAAGCTTTTATTCATCATCAGAACAAAGCTCTTCCTTGATTTTATCTTGTAAATGATGGATCACCGAAAGCTTCTTCTCTAAAAGACTGTTTAAGCTTGTAAGATAGTTTCGGTATTTATTGTAGAATTCAAGAGAGTCCATGGCAACCGAATTGATATCATTTACCATTTCCTTTGCTATCTTTAGATATTCTTCACTTTCATGAATTTCTACCCAGTGCTGATCTAAAAATATTTTGATGTGTTCCTTTGTTATTTGTCGAGGTTGTCCTTCTTCCTCTTCTTCTATATCCATAGCTTCTACATCTTCCACATGTGTATCCACTAATCTTGAATCAGACTCGCCTCTAAATTCTTTTATTCTATATTTTGTTAGAAGGAGGAAAGTTTTATGTATTATTTCTTTTTACCTATCAGCGTATCTCAGCGTATTTAATGTATGATCACTATTGGCCGAGTTGGGTGAAATGGTTGCAATCATACATGTCTTGGAATTTCCTATAAAGGAGTCACGGAGAACCATGGTCAGTTTACTTCCACGAAATGGAGCACGCCTTTGATCTTGATCTAGCGCTCTAATACATTCTTTTAAAGCAAGTAAACTTCTATTGATTTCAGCACCTTCCATTCTCACTTTTGCATCTGTGTTATGGCCTCTATCCGTGCCTCGTTCACTACCGGCAAGATCAATAAAGTTTAATTTGCCATAGGGTTTGTTATTAGTGCTCTGCTTTAAGCAAATCTGCAAAATGGCATGCGATCTTGAAGATGATTGATTTGTCATTGTTTTATTTGTTGTTCGCTCTCTGCTTCCAAAACTGCAAACTTCCATCAAAGTATCTACATCATGCACACGAACTTCCTTTAGGCCAGCTATTACTACATTTCCTTTTCCATCATCTCTTGGTATCAGTTTCTTTCGTTTGTTAAGCAAGTCATATAAATGACCTTGATATATTTCGTAATATCCAACCCATACAACCAAGTGTGCATAACGTCCTTTATTCAGCAATCTAAATATATCCATCACTGCCAGTGTGTATAAGCCGTGCTTGGGGTCGAGCATAGTGTATGTCTTTCCTGACCCAGTTTGACCACTAATATGTTGATTAGATATAGCAATTGGGTATATAAAGTGTTATTACAATGCAAAACAAGTTGATTTGCCTCCTTCAAACATATAATTTACAAGCGGCCTTGTTGTCTTTTGATAAATCTATATACACAGTATTGAGTCTCCCAAGGGGTTTAATATACATTTATCATTTACTGTGCGATTAGATATGTTGCTATCAAAGACATTGTCAAATGTGAAAGAATGCTGTTCAATATACTGCGTAAGATCAAGCCTTACTCTATTCATTTTAAATTAGCCAAGTTTACTATATCCTTTTCTGATGCTACTCACTTTGGTTCCAAGATGTCAATTGTTCTCATACCAGACATTTGTGCTATATCCTTTTCCTTGGCCAGCATTTCACTCTTGTTCAGAGGTCGTTTCCGCACACACACACGGATTTTTTGATCGGTTGATTGCACCATTGAGGACGGTGTGTTTGCTTCTATAGTTGGTTTCGATCGCTTTTCTTTAGAAGCTATGTATTCTTCTAACGTCATACTCGCATACTGTCGACTGATTTCATCCGGTGTTTTTCGCCTTGGCGATGGCACCTTGTTTTGACGATGAATGATTTTGGTTCCTGATCTAGCGATAGGACTTTTCGTAGGACTTGCACGTTGTACAGGACTTCTTAAAGGACTGTAAGGCTTAATACATACATTATTTGTTCTAGACAAAAGACGCTGTGGTGAATGTGGTGGCATCTTTTGGTTTAAGCAATGGTTTATTGGTTGATCGCGTAGAAAATAAAAAAAGAGGGAAAAAAAAAACGCGTCAAATGGTCCGCTCAGGACAACTCAATTCGTTTAAACATCAATTGGGTTTGATTATTATTATAATTATTTACTTTCTAATGCGTTTAACAAGGTACTAACATATGTTTGTAAGACGTCATCCGGTTTCATAAGCTTCAGTCGATTTAAGTAACGAGTTTTGATCAATTCAATGGTATCTCTTTGTTCCACTATTCAACCAATAAGAATCGTTATACTGTTCTTCTTTATGACTTACCAAGACTAGCAACTTCAATAATTTGACAAAGCAAAACACAAATATTACATTTAATCTGAACAGGGAGCTTACTTTCACAAATATCATTCGACATACACGTTACAAATGACATCTTTTGTCCATTCACATCGTAATCATCCGTTGTCAAAAGAGGAAACACTATTAAAAGAGGTTAGTCTCTTAATGTACAGTATATATATATATATATATATGTATATATACATGGAGCCATAAATGAGAGATAATGCTTATCCGAAAAGACTAAATTAAGAGCCATAATACCGTCATTTTTTAATACATCGAATTGAGTTGTACAAATCAATTCAACAATAGGTTTGATAGCATCTGACTCCAGCAGTTTGGTGCGTAGATCTTTACTATCTTCCTCAACCCATATTGCCTTGATCACATTTGTTATCACTCTCGTCGCTTCGCTCTTTGCAGCTGGATCATCCACACGTTTGATAAAAGATATAATCAGAGATAACACGCCTCCATCGATAACCTTTACTGAGTTCTTATCTACGTGTGGATATTAGATTACAATTCTGATATGCTTTTGATACTTACAGTTGCCAGTACACAGTAACTTGATGATACCGATACTAAGAAATTGGTTTCTTTTCAGCATATCCTTTGACTGATCTAATGTTGATGAGACGATCTGAATGCAGTTTTCGTTACCAATCAATGGTTTATTTGTTATAGGGAGACACAAGTGTTTTAAGCATCCAAGAATTGCATATTGAAATGTAGCATTTTCAGTACGCTGAAATAAATCAAGCAAATGCTTTGATAACTTGTATTTCTCAACCAATTCGATGCAATGATCATCTAAATAAGTAATAAGACACGTATACACGAAACAAACATGCATTGACCACAGTCATACCTGATCTCGCAAGGTTTCCAAGAGCATAAACAGCACATTGATGCACAACAGCCACAGGATTGGTCATCATTTTCATCAATCTTGATAAAAGATGCTGATCGTTAAAGAGTTCGTCCATCTTTGAGTCAGTCGATAGTGAATAAACAACAAGTCTCATCACAGCCTTTTTTATCTCGCCCAACGTCTCTTTTTCCTCTTTAGCGAGACCTGTCTCAATAGTCGTATTCTCAAGGAAATCCAGCAGCTCATCTAATACTCCTAAATCGACTATTTCGTTCTGCAGGATATCTACCTTGAGTTAGTAACTCTCTCCCTGCAATCTCCTTTCATTGTACCATCATCCATAACGATTTCAAGCAAAGAGCATGCCAAACTATCTAGCATATCCAAATGCTCCAAGCACTTCAATTCGTAAATAAGTCTCTTGACAAGTATCTTAACAGCAAAAGTATCTGCAACCATCTTACGTGCCTCCTCATTGGATGCTATTCCGTCCAAAATCTTCATACACATTGTGATACAGTTATCATCTGTAATGCCAGTGTCTGGATCCATGAGCTCAATAAGAGACTTTACTGCTCCACACTCGCTCAATTGACTCTGAATAGGGGCTAAATGTGTAAGTTATTAATAAGCGAATAGTATCATATTGACACAACTTACCATAATCCATACTACTGTTCAAGTAGAATCCGCAAACAAAGGGCAGTAACTCCTTTTTCTGACTATGAAAGAAGGGAGAAATAGTTGATATGACCCCAGAATCCTTGACATGTTTACGATTTTCCTCTATGATATCAATTTAATTTCCTTTCTTTTCATAAATGTATGTATATGGCAAAAGCGAGAGAAACATACCATGATCAAAGCACATATTGCCAAGGACACGAAGCGCTTGAATATGAAAATCTGTCTCTTCTGAAGGCACTCGTTGTAGCAAGGTCGCCAAATCTTCAATGACGCGTGCGTTTCCCAAGGGGGTACGAACAGTTTCTATAAATGCATTTGTTTATTCGGGCAATAATTTGATATAGATATTATATTTTTACCTGCGCGAGCTGCATCGCCGAGAATTTTGCAGACATTAGTTAATTGGATCCACTTTCCTTCTAATTGAGTTTGTCCAGAAAGCTCCTTTAAACAAATGACTGAATTTAACACTTCGATGCTATTGACTTTTTTATTTTATTTAAGCATTTATTTGTCTATAAAAGCATATTATTATTACTTTCAGGAATCTCTTGTAGTTGCTGCTTCAAGTTGTCAATCACACTACTCATTTCCAAAGGCCAAAGAGGAAAAAAGGAGAGGTCTACTTTTCCAAATGGACATTTAAGCTCCTTTATCACACGGATGAAAGTCCGATGTATTTCCCATGTTGTATGAATATGTCTAGAAAGGTATCTGATACAGATCACTCCACACTTCATAAGACGCTCAAAATGTTTGTACTGTTCTGTAGACTATGAAGAGATGTTTAGCCATCTTTATAAGCGTTTTTTTTGTTGAGGTTTATTATTTAAAGAACGCATGTTGTCACCATGACAACATGGTGGTGCATACAGCTTGTTCCAATGAGCAGATCATTTGTAACCAAGCAACCAATACTCTAGAATAATACGAATGATAAAGTGCAAAAGTCATTACTTTCCAGTAAGCCATCTGTCTTATTCTATAGTCCCGAAATATCTTATTTATATTGACTAAGCTCTTTCTCGCCATTTCTCTATCCTTCAGATCCCTTAAAAAGAACCCTCATGATGATCTCATCTTTTTAAGGCATTCCTTCAAATCGCAATTTAATCGTGAATCAATAAAGCATACACATCTTTTTTTAGCTCTTTATCGTGAAATGTAGTAGTAACAGCATTATTTATTATTGTCCCTTGATGACTACGTATTTTCTGAGTAATTGCCGATAATACTCAACCATGTTAAAGTTCCATGTTATGCTTGAAGGGGGACAAGTGTGCTTCATAAGATAAGATGTATTGGGGCATGTGGCTTCAATAGCAAGGGACTCGTCTTCTTTAAATTTAGGCTATGATAAAATGTGGATATGATCATCAAGCGGACTGTCCAACTCCCTGGCGAGAAATACATGACTTGAATATGCCCGGAAGCATAAAATTGACCAGATATGTTCAGCTGATATGCCAACTGTCCACGAAGCCATTTGTTTGGTAGACCAGACATGCACAGCGACATTATGTTTGGCAGCTTGAAATGATCAACAGACACCATACACAGCCCAATGCCCTCAGGGTGTTGTAATCTGCTTGATAAAATTAAGTAATGCGCCTGAATCACCGTAAAAGTAATTAGTAAAGAAAAGTCTAACTGTTTGTGCCAGAATGCCATTTTACGCACCACCATTCCTTCGCTCCTCCTTCTCCTTTCGTTGTTCACAGAAAACACGGTCAAGACACCTCACTCTTTACGGTCTTTGTTCCTTCCATCATAATTATGACAAATAAGCCAGTACACTCTGCAGATTTCTCCACAAGGAGAAAAGTGATCTCCAGAAGAGCAACGGCAAGAATAGGAGTAAGTTTTTTAAATACTCGATAAGCAGTTATGGTAGCCTTCTTGCTTAAGGAATGTCGAACGACGCGAGAAGCAAAAGAGGAAACACCAGAGAAACAGTTATAGATTTTGAACATGGCTTTTTTTTTTAAAAAAAAAAAATAAGAGTGGTTGATATTAAAAAAAGGTTAACCAAAGGCGCGTCTCCTTTTATAAATGCATGCCAAACGCTATAATTTATCAAAGGGCTTGCCAACTTTTTTTTGTTGCATAAAAACTTATCCTTTTGATAAAACAGTTCCAGGAGCATAAACGGCGTTTCTTCCATTTTATGCGATCAAAGTCTTAATGACCTGTCGTTTGGTCTAATGGCAATCCCCCTTTTTATCCACATTTAGCTTACAACTATGACTTCATGCCAATATTTGCTTTATTTCAGTGCGCTATTTAATCAATTACAAGTGTATGTTTATATGATGTGTTCAGTTGTGTGAGCAAATAAGAAAGAAATGGCTTCCAACGAAGGATATCACAATTTAGTAAAGACATGAATATAACAAGATGATTTTATTGTTATTAACTTGAACTGTAGGGTAACTTGATTTTAATCTTTGTTCTTTCAAAAGCGAACAGCGCTTGGTACAAGGAAACGGTTTCTGTTAGATGTGTGACTATAAATATTCAAATTTACTGGTTCTATATGATAATCAAACTTTTAATCCTTATTGATATATACATCATCTCTTTCTCAAACTGGGGCAGTTTGAAAAGTATAAAACACACACACACACACACATATATATATATATATATATATAAAGCAAGAGCACTATCTATGGTTTATAAAGGTTTATTTTTTGATATACAGCTCCTCTATTTATGCCCAAGAATATCATTCATAATTTTAGATAAGCTTTCCTTTGATTGCAGGGATTTAATAAAAGGGACACTTACAAGATGATAAACATACATGTTGATCATTTTCCTTTAAAATACCCCTTTTTTCTTTATAAAGACTTGAATGATGCATAATGAATTATGCTACTGCATTATTTAAAAAGAGTAGCACACGCGACAGCGACGTAATTTATACCTTTTATTCACAACATAAATAAACACGAGACAAAAGCTTTTGTGGGGAGATTACATTTTAAGATACCTACGCGTCTTTTTTCCCCCTTTGTTGACCATTGATCTTCATATATATTCACTTAAATATCCAACTTGAGAATTGGCTATCAATCCAAATGATAGTTATGAAAGCAGTTAGTCTAAAGTTAAAAAGTAACATTGATAACCTTGAACATCAAAATGCTTTAACGGGGTTTAAAACTGAGATTGTTATCCTGCAGACTTGTATCGACTTTTTTTTTCCCTTTCTCTCTTTTTCTTTTTTTCCTTCTTTTCTTTTATAAAAAAATCCCTTCAAATGATGCTTGGACGTGGAACAACGAATGACGGAGACCCAGACTGCACTGAAGAGTTGGAAGATAATTCCAAGAGTATTCTTATGGGTATTATCAGCCAATTAAGAAAAGATATGGATTTGCATAGAGTCACTTTACCTACCTTTGTACTTGAGCCAAGATCAATGCTGGAAAGAGTAACAGATTTTATGAGTCATCCCGACCTACTTTTAGAGTAACATCATATATATGACATATTAACATCGTGCTTATCCCAAACAGAGCTAGCACTAAAACAGACCCAACTGTACGATTCCTTGATGTCGTTCGCTATTTTCTATCAGGTTGGCATATCAAACCCAAGGTAAGGGAATATTTTAATAACGCATATGTTATACGCGTGTGCGTGCGTTCGGACGAATAAAATGTTTATTTCTTTTTAGGGAGTGAAAAAGCCATATAATCCTGTATTGGGCGAATTTTTTAGATGCAAATATAAATACAGCAATGGAACCGAGGCTATCTATGTAGCAGAACAAGTATCTCATCACCCACCCATTTCTGCTTTCTATTATGGTAGTCCAGAAAATGGTATTTATATTCAAGGTGATCTTCGTCCAAAATCAAGATTTCTTGGCAACAGTGCTGCCACATTAATGGAAGGCGAAAACCATATCATCTTTACTCACTTGCATAATGAACGATATGATATCACTATGCCAAATATATACGCCAGAGGAATTTTATGTAAGTTTGATATTGGTTTTATCAGTACATAAACTAAAGCTTTGCAGTTGGTAAAATGGTACTCGAACTCGGTGATAGCTGTGCTGTTCGCTGTAAAACAAGCGACTTGGTTTGTGAATTGGATTTCAAGACAAAGGTAATGAAAAAGACACAGACTCTTCATGACTAATTGTTCTTATTAGGGATTCTTTTCTGGACAATACAACAGTGTTTGTGGTAAAGTAAAGAAGGAATCAACAGGTGAAGTTTTATATGAAATTTCCGGCCAATGGTCAAATGAGATATACATTAAAATGGCGAAGGTAATAATTAAAGCCAAAAAAAAGGAGTGATGTAATTGGCCCTATGACCCATTCTCTCCTCTTTACATACTTAGGCTTCCAATAAGACTTTATTTTTTGATGTTAAATCTGCGAATATTCATCCTAAAGAAGTAAAGAATATAGAAGAACAAGAACCTATGGAATCTAGAAGGTATACTGATCATTATCACTGGTGTTTATATCCACCTAACCTTTTTCAAAAACATGATAGGCTTTGGTCAAAGGTGACAGCTGCCATCTTGAAAGATGATATGGATACGGCAACGACCGAGAAGACAATTATAGAAGATAAACAGCGCGAGGATACCAGAACGCGTGAGGCGGACGGAATTGAGTTTGTCCCTCGATACTTTAACTTGGTTCAAGATCAATATGAATTTACGGGGTTAAGAAGGCAAGTTGTGACCATAGATTGTAATATATAAAAGCTAACCTTTCTTTTTAGTATTGACTTTCAAAATAAAGAAAAGGGCAAGGCTCAACTAGAAGATATCATCTTTTCTCCTAATCCAACAAAAACGACAGAAGTAAAGTCTACTGCAACAGCTACAGCTTCTAAGCCTAGTCCATCCTATTAAATAAAAGAAAGTAGTTTTACCTCAAAAGGGATCTTTACTGCACTGGAGCTTATAGTTTCATGCATAAATGAGCTTTCCAAACCAAAAAGAGGCGCCACTTTTATGCCCATTTCAAACTAGCAAAGATATGCGGATGTGGTGAAATGAAACCTTTATTGCTTTCCACTATAAAAACTACTCACTTTACGTACTACGGACTATTAATGGTTAAAATAACATTTGCAATACGATGAATGCCATTGAATCCAAAAATAGGCAAGAGGATGAAAAATATGCTACGTAAACAAGGTTTTAACTCTATTTGCTAAATGAATATAAAGCATTTCTTTCTTTATCTGACCCGGGAAGAGTTTACTATGGACTTATTCAGGATCTGTGATAACGCAGGTCCATCCTAAAGTAAGCATCCAATGATAGAATGCCACAGATTTTTGATATTACTCTTTGTTAAACAGATGCATAAATCAAGACTGTAACACCCAGCTTTGGTCGAATATGGAAACGAGACTTGGCCGGATATATTTTAAAAGCATCATGAAAAGACCAAATCGACTGAAAACTTTTGTAGGCCAAACACTTGAATATTATCTACTGTTGACACGAGAAAAGAAGAGGAATAAAGATCCCTTTGAGGTTATCATATCCAAAAAGCAGCATGTAGAACCTTAACTTTCAAGGTAATGATCTATAATACACGCTGTATATTAGCTACGCGTACGTTTCCCTTTTGACAAATCAGTCTGTGTGGACAAAACTTCCCTCAAGGTAAAAAACAACTCTTTCAACCTTCAACGTTTTGCAAACATAAGCCACAAAAAAGGCACGTGACGTAATTCAGTTCAACCAATCATGTTAGTGAGTTGAGAAAAATTGAAGCTGAAGAAGCTGTGAACGAAAAAATAAAAAAGTTTTTCGAGCAGAAAAAGGTTCATCCTCTCTTTTGAATATTGACATTTCACCATGAAGCATCTCGCAGCTTATCTTCTTCTCGTCGCCGGTGGTAAGGCCAACCCCTCTAACGAAGACATCAAGAAGCTCTTGGCTTCTGTTGGTATTGAAACTGACGCTGCTCGTCTCGATGCTTTGTTGAAGTCTTTGGAAGGCAAGACCATTGCTGAAGTATGTATTTATGACAAAAACAAAGGAGTATGCATACTTACTTAGTATTAGGTTATTGCTGAAGGTACTCCCAAGCTTGCTTCCATCTCTGCTGGCCCTGTTGCCGCTGCTGGTGGTGCTGCCGCTGCTGGTGCTGCTGCTGAAGAAGCCCCCGCTGAAGAAAAGGCTGAAGAAAAGGAAGAGTCTGACGATGTAAGTGAATGTTTATTAAAATGTATTAAGTTTATTCATCCTTTTCTTTATAGGACATGGGCTTCGGTCTCTTCGACTAAACATCCCGTATTTCACAATAAAAATACAATTTCTCATTCTTCCAAAATTTATATTGAATCTATACTGATATAACGCACACGCACGTACGTGCGCATTTACTTCATTAAAAGGGTGAACGAGATAGTATGCTTTACTGTTATCATTACTATAAAAACTATTTGCTTTCTGAATAGTATGGTTGTGGTGGCTTATGAGGTTCATGATGATGTCTGAACTTTCCTTTTATGGAACATGCTTTATTTGTTTGTCATCTGAGGTTTTGATTGATGCGCATTTCTTTTTTGCATATTTTTATCTTATTTTTAATATGGCTTCGTATTATGATGAAGAACAACCTACAGTAAATTATATAAAGTATACCTGTTTCTTGATGTCTCATAAACAAATAGGAGCAAAACAAACTGTTTGGCTCAAGTGACGAAATGTCTGATCTTGATGGAGATCAAGGTAAATGGATACATTCTTTGATAATGAATCTATTATTGACATTATTTAGCTTCAGACAATGATGAAACAGAAACAGCACATATTGAAAGGGAAATAGCCGAAGAGTCTTTGGACACAGCTACGGAAGCACCTAAACCTATCTCAAAGCTACCTTCATTCAAAAAGAAGACAAGGGAAGAAAATGAAGAAGAAAGAGCGAGACTAGAAGCAGTAAGACGGGAAATTAGGGAACTAAAGAATAATTCATCTCGTCAAAATGATGACGATGACGACGACGACGAAAAGAATGCAAAACCTACTGATCCACAACAAGGTTAGATTGTAAAGAGAAAGAACAAAGAAAAAAAGATTAAACGATGCATATGAACGTATATAGCCTTAAGAGATGAAATTGATCGTGAATTTGCAAAAGCATTGAGTAGCGGAAAGAAAAAGAAGAAGAGACGTGATGCTGAGGATCTGGAGAATGCTATGGATGATGAATTATCCCATTTGAGAGACCGTATGAAGGGAGCATGTGAAGAAGACGCTATTTCAAACGGAGAGAGGAAACCAGCAGTTGCCAAGCTAAAGATGTTGAATGAAGTAATGAGCATTCTTACAAAGTAAGTACCACTAAACATGTATTTATGAACTGTGGACAGTTGCTTATCGTTGATGATAGTAAGCATCTACAAGACCTTATTCTCGACAATGGACTCTTGGACGCTATTCGAGTCTGGCTTGAACCTCTACCAGACCGCTCTTTGCCAAGTTTAGACATTCAAGTGGCCATGCTCGACATCTTGGACAGACTTCCTATTTCAGGAGAACACTTACGTGAAAGCGGCGTGGGAAAGATTGTTTATTTTTATACAAAATGCTCACGCGTTGAACAGCATATAAAGCGAAAGGCTGACCAATTGGTAGCCAAATGGAGTAGGCTTGTCATCAAGCGCAGTGAAAATTACAAAGAACGCCGTCATGCTGTGCAAGAATTGAGGCATGAGGACATGTAGGACGACAATATAGGTCGGATAAAAGGCATTTGATTGATTTTTTATATAGGATACAAAAGAGAAGAAAGTATAAACGTGAAGATGAACCAGAAGAAGAGTCTGTGGGTGGTAGTCGACTCCATGTTCGTATTCCTCAAGCAGTAGCAGCAGATTATGATATTGTACCTCAAAGTATAGTAAGGGCAGATAAGAATAAGTCATCAAAAGTAAGTATCATCCTTTGCCTGTTTCGTGTATAATAATCTTTGTTACAGGATAATACTACATTCAGACGATTGAACAATACGATGCGTACGATCAAGACTGGTCCCAAGAGGTCAACCCCCAAGGTGTCTATAGAAGGAAAGGGCATGTCATTCTAAATGTAAATAAAATTACAGAACTTCTCTCAACTGGTGCAATTACATAATCTAATGTGAAGCACGTTTCCTGTGTTACGAGTGTATTATTATTTAAATAACTTTTCTGTCTTTTCTTTATTTTCTTTACTATTCTATTCTTAAAACACTAAGCATATATGTCTGGTAAACTATTTCTTGAATTGCCTTGTCTTGTTTAACTGAAATGAGCAATGTATATAGACGATCAATACTACGGCGCTTCTCTTGAAGGAAATATCATTAAATACGGGTACGCATGAATGAGTAGAAAACTAAAAATAGCCATGCTGACATTTTTATTATTTTTCTGTTGCAGAAATCTGATTGCCTTGAAGCACAACATGACCGGCCGCTACTTGACCTCTCGACTAGGCGACAATTATGAAGGTGGCAGTGGTCAACAAAAGGCATTTGCCGGTGGTTGGGAAGCGTCTTCCGAGACGTTCTTTATTGTCCTTCCTCGCTTTGGCGACGAACGTACTGGTGAAGACGTCAATTTCGGTGATGTGATCCGTCTCAAGCACTTGGAAACGCGTGCCAACCTTCATTCTCATCCCGATATTGCTAGTCCTGTTACCGAACAACAGGAAGTCACTTGTTACGGCGATGATTCCCTTACGGACGAAAATGATGAATGGATTGTAGAACAATGGGGCTTTGATGAAGCTGAAAATGAAGAGTTTGATGTTGAGGATCCCGTAAGTTGTGTATTTTTCACTTAACAGCAAGTTATTTACTTTTTCTTTTTAGACTTGGTATGTCGGTCGTTCTTTCATACTTAGACATGTTGCTACTGGCGTCACTTTGTAAGTTAAACGAATAGGCTAATTTGGCTATTCCTTTGACTAACTCTCCCTTTTTTTAAACAAAAATATAGGCATAGTCACGAGGAGCTTATCGCTGAAGACGCTAATGAAGTCACCGGCTATGGTGCTGGCCCTGATGAAAATGATAGATGGCGCGTCGCTTTCTAAGTTGTTTTATACCCTTTATACATTCAAATAAAGTACGCAATTACCTTTAAACAAAATAACTTTATTATTTTCTTTTGAAACTATAAACACGTGAAAGAAAGAAATGACGAGATGTGAGTTGTTGAAATACACAATTATTGATATTGCTTCTTGTTCTTCTTGTAATAGTTGATCAAACCATTAGTTGAACCATCATGAGAACTGACTTTACCGGGGGCAGAGAGTTCAGGCAAGATAGCCTTGGCCAATTGCTTACCAAGTTCAACACCCCATTGGTCATAAGAGTTGATGTCCCAGATAGCACCTTGAACAAAGATCTTGTGTTCATACATGGAGATGAGGGAACCCAAAGTAGCAGGAGTCAACTTTTGAAACAAGAAGGAGTTGGTAGGCTTGTTGCCTTTGAAGATCTTGTGAGGAACAATGTTTTCGACCACATTGGCTCCCATCTCAGCACGAACTTGTTCTTCGTTCTTACCAACCATCAAGGCTTCTGTTTGAGCAAAGAAGTTGGAAAGCAAAATGTCATGATGTAAACCGTTGCGAATGGGGTTGTGTGTCTCCACGGGAGCAAGGAAATCACAAGGAATCAATTTGGTACCTTGGTGAATGAGCTGATAGAATGCATGTTGACCATTAGTGCCAGGCTCACCCCAGATGATAGGACCAGTCTGTGCCTCGACCTCAGCACCAGAGCGAGAAACGTATTTACCGTTGGATTCCATGTTACCCTATTGTATTCTTTATTAAAGTGTGTACTTTAGATAGTCTTGATGTTTACCTGTTGGAAGTAAGCAGCAAATCTGTGCATGTATTGATCATAAGGAAGGATAGCTTCAGTTTGAGCACCATAAAAGTTGTTATACCAGATACCAACGAGGGCCATCAATACAGGAATATTGTCCTCAAGAGGAGTATTTAAGAAGTGTTGATCCATTTCGTAACCACCACGAAGAAGTTCCTCAAAGTTGTCATAACCAATAGTGATCGCAATGGACAAGCCGATAGCAGACCAGAGAGAGTAACGACCACCGACCCAATCCCAGAACTTGAACATGTTCTTTGGATCAATACCGAATGCTGTGACTAGCTTTGTGTTTGTAGAAAGTGCAACAAAGTGTTTAGCGATATGGCTGGCCTAGAAAATTAGAAATTCAGTTGATCAATATCATGATAAGATCACCTTGGTAAAGAAACACGTCATTTTATATACTTACATCCTTTGCAGTAGCCAAGAACCAATCTTTGGCAGATTCAGCATTAGTCATGGTTTCTTGAGTCGTGAAGGTCTTTGAGGCAATGATGAACAAAGTTGTTTCAGGATTAAGGTACTTCACAACTTCAGCAAGATGAGTACCATCAATGTTGGAGACAAAGTGAGCTTTCAAGCCTTCCTTTGCATAAGATTTTAATGCTTCAGTGACCATGACAGGACCAAGGTCTGAACCACCAATACCAATGTTGACGATATCAGTAATAGCCTTGCCAGTGTAACCCTTCCATTCACCCGAGCGAATAGCTTCAGAGAATTCCTTCATGTGAGCCAATACTTCACGAACCTCAGGCATAACATCAGCACCATTGTCATAGATGGGTTTGTCAGAAAGGTTACGAAGAGCAATGTGAAGAACAGCGCGGTCTTCGGTGAAATTGATATGTTCACCAGTGAACATCTTTTCACGCATTTCTTCCACCTTGGCTTCCTTGGCTAACTCGAGCAAGAGACTGAGAGTTTGGTCAGTGACGCGATTTTTGGAGAAATCAAATAGGATGGAGGTATTTGTCTTATCAGAACCTTTAAAGATGCGATGATACTTGGCAAAACGTTGAGGATCCTTTTCGAAGAGCTCCTTGATGACAATATTTTCTCCTTCAGCGTCAAAATGTTCTTGAAGCTTACTCCAAGCGTTCAATTTGTTTGCTAAAACCATTTTGTGTACGTGTTTTTTTTTTGTAAAAATATAAAAGAAAGAAAAAAAAAGGAAAAACTGGGCCAGACTTTATAAATGGGGTTGATTTTTAATAACTTTATGCTGCTGAGCCTTAAATCAGTCATCATAAAAGTAAGCAGTTGTCATCGTTAGTAATCAGATATGACCAAGGCAGCTTCTTTATGATAAATAAAGGACGTTGGACTGTAATAACTTTACCCCATGAAACTCGTTTGAGGAAGATAAAGAGATGTTTTTCATTAAACGTTCACTTTTTGTTTTATTTCGAACCTCGGGTTCCACTCACAGCCCGTTTATTCCCTATGTTTCTCTGTGTGATAGTAATCTTAAGCTTCCCTCTCTCTTAAAGATAAATGTTATTTTTAATCTTTAATATGTAATAGTCATCATTTTATTATTCGTGTCTATTGAAATGCTTCCATAGTTCGTGTCACCATTGTCAAGTATTCTAGAAATGAATTGACTGATACTCTAAGCATTTTGGTTGTATAACAGTCAAAGCGTCTATACAATTGATTATAAGATTGATTATTTACTTGTTTGATTTATATTTTACACTTTTAGTATGTTTCCTTCTGCTGAAATCGTCCTTTTGACTTGATCTGCCTTAAGTTCTTTGTCTACTTCAATCACTCGTGCAGCAATTGTTGCTAATCTTTCATTTGGTAAAGGAATTTCTAATGTTCTACAGAGAAATGGTTAAATTACTGGAATGCTGTCATCTTTTTTATAAATACATTATCTTGTCCATGTTATAAAATTAAGAGAGAGAGAGGGAAAGAGAAAAGATGGTAGCAGTAGTCACGTATTTTCTTTCAAAGCGTGGTTGAAAGGGTACACTGAGAATTCGATATTCACTGTTTGTCCCAGAGAGCAAGTGTACTTTTCCTATGGAATACTGTTTTATTAAAAATAAATTTCAGAAAGAGGATAACATTATTTACGCAAAGGTTAAAAATAAAACGCATGCAAAAGGAAACGACATACAAATGAGAGTGATAAGTACCAAGGAGAGAATATAAAGAATTATACAGTTAACTATGCAAGAAAATTACTATATATAACTTACCCCGAAGGCATCTAGATGTGTCCTAGCGATAACTACGACGGAGAATCATTGTCTAAGCGTATTCTAGTTCTTGGTTGCTCCTGATCGTCCACTCTTCTTCGACGTCTTGTAGGAGCAACAACAACCCGGCGAAACCTATGAGGAACCATGCCATTACGCCGAAGCCCACGAAGAATGTGCATATAGTTGAGGCAAGTAGCAACATCCCTGTTCCATAAACGATATCTATCTGGTGCCGCCATGACGGGTCTACAGTATAGATTGGTGCATCTATAATCAATGTTCAATCAGAATAAAGTCATACAAGTGGTTAATGTATTATTACCTTAAATGGCCGTGGTAGACAACAGTAGAATATCGCTCACATTGATACGGTCGTGGATTTGGAACACGACGGAGCGTGCGGAGGCTTTCATTGTGGCATGTTGGACAGCACCTACTGGCCTTGGACTCGTCTATAAGATAGACTTGATAATTTCGACCAGTTAGATCGGTAATGTAGGAGGTAGCTTCATACTCCACTGTGAACCTTGCCGTGTATCTTGTTTGCCTGTCGACCCTCTTCTTGAATACCATGACACCAGCGTCATCAGTTTGAATAGTGCCACAGAATCTAAGCTATCCACCTTCTTGCAACTTGAGGGCTTTTGAATCAAGGTTGACAGCTCGGCGCTAGTAACCAAGTTTATCAACAGCATTATACCATTTAATTCCCAGGATGTTTTGGCAGAGAATCTTGCTGTCGATAGTAACGCAACAAGGAGACCATGAGCGCCGGAGAGGAAAACAATTGAAGATGGGTAAACTAAGATGTTCAAAGAGACGAAAAAGTTGATAGAAGTCCTTAAAGTGGTCGACAAGGTTACGCTTGACATCGTAATAAAGCCTCCGTTCGTCAAAATTGTAGCCTTCATCATAAGCATCAAAAACAGGCTGAATAGTTTCAAGAGCTTTCCTGTAAATATGCCCTTGAGGGAATTGTCCCATATCTATAGGCTACTGCGAAATAGCCTACTTGAATGTCTGTGCTGGTAGAATGATGTCTTGGCGGATGCGGTGCTTGATTTCATCATTATCCATACTTTGTTCAGACAGAATTCGTCTCAAACCCGCTGTTCGTTGTCGTATGTCAAGTAAAATATTGACGACATGTTGAAGGTGCTGACCAAATCTAAGGTGAACATTGTTGACGTAAGCTATGTAGATTTTGGTGCCTTCGATTATAGCAAATTGCTGAGCATATACAAAGTTGGGCCTCTGGTAGTTAGTGATTGTAAGGTAATCATCCAATTACTGATCGATTACTTCACGATGGTAAATGATGAGTCGAGCGCGAGCTCGGTCTCTTGAGTAATCGACCAATGAGAGCCATATTTCTTTAAAAAATTCCTTGTTGACATATTCTTGTATTCTGAAATTCGTGTCTTACAGCTTTCGAAGGAAGATGAATTTCGAGAAAGAATAGGCGTACATGGTGGTGTATACACGTTCGACGAAGTTTTCGAGTGTTTCACGATGAAGATTGTTCCAACCAATGCCATCAACAGAGGATTTAACAGCCAAAATACGGTCGTTGGGTCCGAGGGAACTAGAGGTACTCATAGCCGATGAACCGAAGGAGTTTGGAGTGGAGCCTTTATCCATAGTGAGATACCTATTGAATATATATATATATAGTTAGTTAAGGATTATCTCTAGTAGCTTAAAAAGGATTTTACTTACTTCTAGTTAAATGAGTATATATATTTATAAAAGATTGAAGAACTAGAAAAACGATAGACGTGAATCTACAAGATATATTGTTAGATAACGATGTATCTAATCGTCTAGATAAGCTTTTACTTACTGGAAATGCTTGATGTGTAGATTTAAAAATATAGATTGATTTTAGAAATAAATAGCCAAAGAGGCGTGTCTATTAGATGTATTATTAGCTACAGACTGCATTCAATTCACTGTAGGAAATTTTAGCTGGGAGTTCGAATTAAAAAAAAGTGTCTAAATCTATATATTCTGTATACAGTTATACACACAGAAAAATAATGTTCAGCATTTCGCCTATGTCCTTACTATAGTGATTATGCTTTATACATTATATACAACAATTAAATATAATAAACGTTATATTTAATAGTTTATGCTTTATTGATATACATCATAATTGAAATTACACTTCAATTTGATTTGCCTGACTTTGTTCTTTTGGCAGTATGCTTACCTATATTTAAATAACAATTAGCCTACCTTCTTCACTTCAATACAGTAGCTTACAACATACCTTTATTATTGCTACGACGCTTGTTCGTATCATTTGCTTTGCAGTGATGTATAGTTGATGTAAATATACTTGCGGCGTCGATATGCCTGACATCACTATAATGGCAAGTGTAAGTAATGCTATACCTTATATTTTAGATTCCTAAAGTTTACCTGATATCGCAGTCATCACTCTCATCACTTTCTTCATGAAGGGTGCTTGCAGAAGAAGACGTTTGACACGAATCTCGACCGTGCACAGTATTGTTTTGGGGCGTTTGATCTTTAAAAAGTAAAAAAAAAAAAAAAATAGTTGTTTCTTATTTCTAATTGATATAGTTACCTTGTTCATTGCTGAAAGCAGCAAAATATCTGTTCTTCTCATTGCAAGCCCAGTAGTAACGGAGCATGAGATTGGCGCCCCAAGAACCAACAGAAGCACGCAAAGGTATGAAAGGAACAGCTATCTCCTCAAGAGCCTCAATGGCTGCTAGTTTCGATCGAGGATCAGCATCCTTAAACTACTTACCATTTTCGATCTGGTGCTTGTACTTTACTTCACGAATGAGAGCAGGCAGTCTAAAAATCGTGATATGGTCACGAGCAGCGTCAAAAATCACATTGTCCACAGGACTGCCGTGTACATCCTCCATCAACTTTCTTAAGAGGCCCCAAAAGAATTGACGCTTGCTCTTAATGCCCTCAATAACAGAATGTTGAGCAGATCTATCAGGGTATAGTTTGTCTAAAAACAGGCCCTGGATTAATTCGCCATGTCTTGTACGCCTTGGTCTGCTTGAATCTGCTGTGTTAGCAAGAATACTCTCAAGTTGTGCTCTCAGCTTAGCATTCTCTTGCTGCATCTCAAAAAGCCTTTCTTCATATTCTTCCTTTGTAGTTCTCAGCTCCTTAATTTCGTTCTTTATTTCAGCTACCTGAGCTGAAATAGTCTTTACTGCATCCTTAATCTCATTTTGAGTAGAGATGATGGCAAGGACAAAGCTGTTGAGCATTTCTTCACGGTTGCTGTTCACTTGAGACAAGATATTTAATATTTGTAAGGAAGAGATTGAAAATAACAGTCAAAAAACGAACTTTGTATAAATCTATAGATTTGTGTATAGATGTATATAAAACTATATAAAACTGTATATTTGTGTATAAATGTATATAAAACTGTATGTTCGGATTAAAAATGTCCTATAGTGATCAAAAAGACCAGAGAGGAAAGGATCCACAAACCGTGTGCATAGTTCGAATTCATTCACATCTTCTATTGATACGGGTGGTAGCTTGATAATCAAAGCACTCAACGCCTTGACGAATTTGTGTTCATAACTTGAAAGAGATAATGGCTTAAAACTGGTTTCCGCTTGCTCCCGGTTGATGGTTTTTGTCCATAGGTTATCAATTATGGCTAGCATATTGGTAACAGTATTCAGAGGCATTGGAACCTTTTTGATGTCGTACATATCATGCATAAAGTTGATTACTGCAATCCAATCATTGTGCTTAAAGCATGGCTTCACTTCATCAGGGTATCGATTGGGTGACAAGAATAAAATGGAGGTTGATGCCAACGCTAGATGTAAATGGTCTTCCAAAGACACTTTCCAATTGTAATTCTTAAGTGAAAATCGCATCATACGAAAAGCATCAGTTACGTCAAAGTTATCAGCCATCAAATGGTCGTCATCGGGTGAATCAAATGTAAATCCGTCCAAAGAGATTAATGCATCGTGAGAACGCTTTTGCTCTATCGCTCCAAGATTTTGTTCGTGTTAGTATTTGTCGTTGAAAGCGAGGTGTTACATTGGTCGCGTTGATCATCAAAAGAGGAGCTGTTTAATATACTAGGTTGGCCGTGATATTGTGATCGTGGAGGCAGGTATTCCTTGTGATTATCATTAAAATGGTTATCAAGAGCGTTCAAATCACCAAAATGGGTGGCACAACAGGGACAAACATAGTGTAGCCTGAGTCGCTCGTCATTGGAAGGAGAGTTTAAATACCAAAATGATTCATTGCTGTGTCGGCGTACTGTTTTGACGCGATTAGGAAATTCGAATTTGTGAGTGATACTCAAATGCCCACTAAAAGCAATGATTAACTGGTATGACAGGTTCTGGTTGTGACATGGATACTGGGATTATGATAAATGAAATGGAAGGAAAGAAGGAAAAATGAAGAAAAAAAACCTCCAGCCTATTATCCAGCCTATCAAGGAATAATTATTGAACAATTACTAAGCGACATGTAAAAGAGAACCAAAATAGGTTCGGTAGGACCTTCCAAATAGCATATAACAACTCTTTCATTTCTTCAATCCTTTTCGTCAGTTCAGCAACATTAGAATCGTTATACACTTGGCAGTAAAATATACGTACTGCTTGTTCCCTCGAAATGATAGGTATTGCAGTTCTTTCAGAAAGTAAAGTCGCATTTTTGCAGTTTTTACAATGCAATCTACACGAAAAGCGACAAATCAGCGCAACACCTCTTTCTGGAAATGGTGTGTACAAAAAATGCTTATTGGGATTTAAAAAACCGTCATGTTGAGTTGTTGGCACTGTGTGAGATGAAGATAACAAAGCTGATTTTTCTTCTTTTTTTTTGGGTGGCTTTTGTTTTTATTATCTGTGATATATAATGTTCATTGGTATCATAGGACCAAAGAGTAGTGGTAAACATACCATTGTAGAATACCTCTTGGAACAACATAATTTTGAATTTCTGGCTATAAGCAAAAATGTGGATACTTTCAACCGAAATGTCTATTTGAACGCAAAGATATTTGACAATGCTGACGACGTACAAGCTTATGTCACTGAGCGTTGGCAGGATAACTTTGTCATTTGTGACATTGATTGTGAGGAACTTGATGTGCTAAGGTACAGACGATACAGCAGAGTTTAGTTTTGTATTTACACGGTTCTAGAAAGAGACCGTTTTTCCTGTTGTTGGCAGTCGAAGCACCTGTAACTTTGAGATATCAGCGTTCAGTTATCAGGTACAGACATAGAGCGTAGAAACCAAATAAAATAAATTAATAAATGAAATCTAGATACGAAACTCGTGCAAGTAAAGAGCTTTTATCACTCGAAGAATTTTTGGTACAAGATGATCGTCATATGTATGGTATATCTGTCAGTGATAACACTCAAATAATACGCAAGACCTTATTCGACACAATGATGGCATCTGATCTATTGATTACAAACATATACCCAACTATAGAACAACTTTATGAAGCCTTGAATAGGTTAAAGATTACAGATAAGGAGAGACTACGACCCTCTTGGGATACTTACTTTATGCAATTATCTGACTTAGCAGCAAGAAGATCCAATTGTATGAAACGACGGGTTGGCTGTATTCTAGTCAAAGATTCTAGAGTTGTAGCCACAGGATATAATGGAACCCCCCGTGGACTACGAAATTGTAATGAAGGAGGTTGTCCAAGATGTAATGAAGCTGCACCCTGTGGGACTGGGCTTGACAGATGTCTTTGTATGCATGCAGAGGAAAATGCCTTGTTTGAAGCAGGGCGAGGTGGTGTCAGCCTTGAAAATGGCGTCATCCTCTATTGTAACACGTAAGTTGATATGAGTTGTATTGCATTCCATATTTAGCTAACATTATGAACAGATGTCCCTGCTTAGGTAAGAAAGAAGGGTGATATTTGAATCAGGTCTTAATCCTATTGTTATTGTAGGCTGTGCCATCAAGATTGTACAACAAGGAGTAAAAGAGGTGGTGTATAACAAGTCGTATGGTATGGATGAAATGACAGCCAAGGTATTCAAAGAGGCAAATGTTAAGCTCAGGCAACACTGTCCGCCGACATTACGTAGGGACATAGACTATTAGAGTATCACTGGAATGTTAAAACTTCTCTATTTGGATGTTTACAAACTCACCAAATAAAGTAACGTTGAAAAGTAGTACACACATGTTATGCATTACATTTCTTTCTCTCTTTTTTCTCTCTCTTTATTATTTAGTTTCTTACTGTAAATGTTTACTGCTTCACATATTAAAGACAACCAAGAATATGGGGGCTCCTTTATTCATAGTTATGGTTCGAAGAAATTCGTTAGGCCAAAATTGGATAATGTCCTAGATGCGGTTGCACAAGCAAGATTTAATGAAAAAAAATGGGTTTGGATAGAAGATGACAATGAAGGATATGTTAGAGGACATATCATTAATGAAAATAACGACAAAGTAGAGATAGAATACGAAAGTGGGAGGGTAAGCTAATGAATATAATCAACAAGTAGATATTCACACTGTGTTTAAAAGACAGCCTTTGTGAGCAGCGCAAAAATAAAGCCAATGAACCCACCAAAATTTGATATGGTTGATGATATGGCTGAGCTAACTCACTTGAATGAACCTTCAGTGATTCATAATCTCACTGTTAGATATAAAGCAAATCACGTTTATGTAAAATAGACGATATTATAAAAAAAAATGAATGTATAAACTAACTCGCCATAGACCTATTCTGGCCTTTTCTTAGTGGCTGTAAACCCTTATAGAAACCTTTCTATATACACTGATGAGTACATTCAATCTTATAAAGGTAGAAGAAGGGGTGAAATGCCTCCTCATATCTATGCGGTTGCAGATCAAGCCTATCACGACATGGTCCAAGATAGAGAAAATCAATCCATCTTGATTACGTAAGTTCTGTTAAAAACGGAAGGCCGGAAATGTTAATATATTGTTAAAAAAAAAAGGGGCGAATCAGGTGCAGGAAAAACAGAGAACACCAAAAAGGTTATTCAGTATTTAACAGAAGTTGCATCTATTGATAAACATGCGAATCAACTTCAACATCAAATACTACAAGCAAATCCTATACTTGAATCGTTTGGTAATGCACAAACAATACGTAACAACAATTCATCTCGATTTGTAAGATAACATAAAGAAAAAAAAAAAAAAGAGACTAATGAGTGTTTTGTAGGGTAAATTCATCCGTATCGAATTTAATAGTAGAGCTCAAATCTGTGGTGCAAATATTGAATGGTATTTATTGGAAAAATCTCGAGTACATTATCAAACTTCAAAAGAGAGAAATTATCATGTTTTCTATCAATTGTTAGAAGCAGATGAAGATATTAAAAGTAAATATTAATTGTTCCTATATTCTCTCTAATATTAACGATCAAATAGAGCAATTATTATTGGACGGATGCGCTAATGATTATAATTTCCTAAAGCAATCCAATAAGCGAATTGAAGGTGTAGATGATAAAGAGGAATATAATAATCTTGTGGTAAATATCTAGTCCTGATAATGAACCAATATTTGATATAACCAATACCCTTAGAATGCATTGGACATTATGGGTCTTACAGAAAAGGAAAAATTGGATCTGTTTAGAGTAGTTTCTGCTATACTTCATCTTGGCAATATTTCAATTACCAACTATTCAGAGCGTGCTGACATCAAGAATTTTGATACAGTTGAACGCGTCTGTCATTTACTTGGCATATCTGCAGAGGAATTCAAAAAGAGTTTGCTATCACCACGTATCAAAGCAGGAAGAGATTGGGTGGCTCAAGCCAAATCGCCTGCTCAGGTCGTTGCCAGTATTGACGCTTTAGCTAAAACACTGTATGAAAGAAACTTTGGATATCTGGTAGAGCGTATAAATAAAGCAATTGATGGTCAAAGAACAAAGGATAAGTCTGGTTTTATTGGCGTATTGGATATAGCAGGATTTGAAATATTTGAAGTAAAAAAAAAGTAAACAAATATCCAGAGAGCAAGGTAGTAATACTAGATTTATAGGTTAATAGCTTTGAACAACTTTGTATAAATTATACAAATGAAAAGCTGCAGCAATTCTTTAACCAAAACATGTTTGAATTGGAACAAGAAGAATACCAAAAAGAGAAAATAAACTGGAACTACATTGACTTTGGTAAAGACCTTCAACCGACGATTGACTTGATTGAAAAAACCAATGTAAGTATTTTGTGTGGACTTTTTCGATAATGTGCATACATAACCAAATAACATAGCCTGTGGGTATTTTGTCTTGCTTGGAAGAAGAATGTGTAGCGCCAAGAGGAAGCGATCAGCGTTTCCTACAAAAGTTGAACAAGTTTTGTGACAATGATAATCCAGATGCAAAGTATAAAAGCACACGATTTCAGGACGGGTTCATATTAAAGCATTATGCTGGTGATGTGGAATATTCAGTAGATGGATGGATAGAGAAAAACAAGTATCCTCTTAATGAAGACATTACTCGTTTATTGGCAAAGTCAACACAAAAACATATAGCTAGACTATTTGAAGACTATGAAGAAGATGATAACGATCATAGCAGTAATGGGAACACCAACGGCTTTGTTTCCATGCTCAAGATCCGTAAAGGAAGTGGATCATTTAGAACAGTTGGCCAAAGACATAAACAACAGCTATTGTCTTTAATGAACACTCTGTACATGACACATCCACATTTTGTTCGCTGTATCCTACCCAATGACAAAAAGCGTGCTGGTGATATTCAGACCAAATTAGTATTGGATCAATTGAGATGTAATGGTGTGCTAGAAGGTATCCGTATCTGCCGCAAAGGATTCCCTAATCGTCTGTCATTTGATGAGTTCAGAAAACGATATGGTATTCTATATCCCAGTCTACTGAACAGAGATTCGTTTATTGACGGAAGAACAGCATGTCAGATATTACTTGATCAGATCGACCTAGACAAGGAGAGATACCAGATCGGTATGACCAAAGTGTTCTTCAAAGCAACAGTATTGGCAGAACTAGAGGAGCTGCGAGACAATAAGTTGGGTGTTTGTATTACTCAATTCCAAGCATACTGTCGTGGTCGTCTGGCTCGACACCATCAGAGTAGCTTTGCTCGACAGACCGAAGCTATCCGTATCATGCAACGTAATGCTCGTATCTATATCTCTCTTCGTGAATGGCCATGGTGGAGAATATATGCTAAACTGAAGCCACTTAATGCTGCATACCGTGTTGATGTACAAATGCGAGAAAAAGATCAAAAGATTCACGCTTTAGAGAAACAGCTAGAGGAACAAAAAAGTGTTATTGCTGAGACTACTTCACGTAGTCAAGAACTTGAAAATCAGAATACTGAACTAAAGCAACTCATTATGGATGAGCAATCTGTTATTCAAGAACTGGAAGAGAGTAAACAAGAACTGTTCCAAAAATTCACGCTTGCAGAAGAACGTATCGAGGAATTAGAATCTGAGCTAACCCAAAAGACGAAATTTATAGAGGAAAATCACAAAATATTAGAACAAAAGACAAAAGAGGCTCAGCTTGAATTAGAGAAAAAGGAAGAAGAAAATCAAGTACTCAGAGGGCGATTGGAAGCTTTGGAGAATGAAAATGAAAAGATAAAGCAATCCTTAGTAGAACAACAAGATGAGTATAATAAAGATATTAGTGAAAAGGACGAGCAAATACTTCAACTTGAATTGAACAACAAACAACATGTAGATAGTCTTCATATAGAAATAGAATCACTAACGGAGAAACTAAAAGAAACCGAAAGTCGTAAAGAGCAAGAAAGTCAAACAAATCATGAAAACATTGCACATTTAGAATCAACCATAAAGCAACTAGAAGAGGCATTAACTATTGAAACGGATACCCGAAAGGATTGGCAAAACAAATATGAACAACTCAAGGAGGATTGGGATAATTTAACAGCTTTAGTACGAGAAGAGTCCGAGCAAGCTAAAGCACGAATATCAAGGTAATCTTTATAGAACAAGACAAGAATCCAAAATAACTAAAACTAAAAATAGATTTGATCAAGTTTTGAGTGGACTAAAATCACTTTAATTATACCAAAAATATAGAGTTCTTTTTCTCTTTTTTTCCTTTTTCCTTTGATCAAAGCGATCTATTCAGTGGAGCAACTGCAAAATTTCTAAAGTTGCCTTCTGCATACGATCTTGTCCTGATTTTTTGACCTGAATATTCTTGATCTCTTTCTTCGCTTCCATAATCTTGGCTACTTGTCGACTAGCATCAGATTGAGAAACAAGTGTTCCAAATGCCACCACAAATCGATAAAGATTTTCGTCGTCATTCTCATCTTTCAATAGTTCTATAAGAGTTCCTGTAAAGCCAAGCTGTACATCATCCTCTTGCTTAGATGAAAGCAATATGGCAAAGCTAATATAAAGATGTTATTTGACACTCTAGGAATGTTGAGCACTTTCTTACTTGACTGCTAATGTACTCTGTGCTAATCTTGCTGCTTTCGACTTGAACCTACCCGTAATATCGACCTGCATGATTTCTGCTATTAAGGTGCGCTTCTCCCACATAATTTGACGGCCATATTCTGTGTTGAACAGATTAGCCAGCGCACGGAAGGCAAGCATAGCATTTGTTTCATTTCCAGCTGATGTGGGCGACAGGCCACCAGCTACTTTTATGAAAGTAACTATATCCTGTACCATACTATTTAGCTCTTCAGGATAGTATAAAGCAAGCAAGCGAAGGAGATCCAGTGCGGGGAATCGTTTGTCTTCTGGCCACATTGTGCACATTTTCACAATCACTGCAAGTGATACAACGCTTGCTTTTCCAGTTGGATCTTTGATATAACAGATAATGGCCTCTAAATCTTGGAGTTGTTCATCATACAAATGTACTGGCGCTAGTTCAGCGCTGAAAGTATAGATCTTGTTCCTTACAGCATCCAGATTAGCTTGTTTCAATGTCAAGTAGTTTTTCTGCATTATAGTTAGTCAAGTAGTCTGCCTTTGTACTTGTAAACTTACAATAGGTAAAACTTTTCCTGCTGTACTAGAGGTCTGGTACGAATTTTTTCCTGTGAAGGGATCGTTGTAGTTAGCTGATGAGGAAGTTGGAACAGTGGGTTGTGTAGGACGGTAAGAGCCTTGGCCAGTGAAAGGGTCTACAAAGGCGCCTGATGTATTGGTAGTTTGATAGTTCGGTACTGGTGTGTATCTATTTGCTCCCGTGAAAGGGTCTTGATATTCGCCGGATCCTAGATTGACACTTCCTGTATTTTTGATAATAAATGTTGCAATTTCTTCTCTAAATGACTGAGGAAGATCATGTTTTATTAAAAATTTTTCTGCAGCATCGTAAGCGTTCTCTAAGAGTAATTGTTAGATATTATGTATTTATCAATGATTCGCCTTACGAGTGACATTGTATGGAAGTTTAAGATTGCCACCTGGTCCAGCTCCAATGTCAATATCAAAAACGTAATCATATTCTTTTCCCTCATAGAGTTGCTTATTAGAACCTGATCCAACACCTCCAACGACTTCGCCAATCTTTTGCCAGCTTTGTGTTTGACTACTCCATTGGTGTGCTTCAACATTTGCCCCTACATTAACCATAATAACTTGACCTTCCTTTGTTCCTGGCTTAGTCAATGCTTCAGGCCCAGGTAGATCATTCTTATTAACATCGCCGATTTGATTTCTATCATGAGATGTAAGAACCAAAAAAGAAAAAAAAAAAAAAAAAAAAAAAAAAAAAAAAAAGATGCGACATTGTTGTTACTTACGATGGTATAGCCTGGTTTGCTAAAAGCTCATCAAACTCCTATGAATCCAGTTAGGAAAGAAAGAAGTGTATCATGCAGCGCTTCCAACCTTTAATGCTTCGGCAGGCGCCATTCTCTTTTCATCACGAGTAAATATACGAACTACTGCATCGCTTCCACCAACGACTATGTCACCATTTGGTAATCCTGCGACTGACCAGACTGAAATACAGGGTTGCTGAATGGTCTGAACACATTCCCCATCTTTACGTTCGAGTCAATTTATGTGTAAAGATTTGGTATGGTCATTTATACCTTTCCACACACGCACAGTGCGATCTTCCCCTGATGAGATAAATTCTCCTGAGCCTAAAACATCTACAGAATATACAAAGGAAGTATGTCCATACAACACTTGTAAACAGGTTCCATCCAGTTTCCAAACACGCAAGGTTCTAGTAAAGAAACAATTAAAGCCTCACAATTGATTTTACTATTCTGTAACTCACGCATCATTTGAGCAAGACACAAATGTGTCATTTGTCACTAGAGCTAAACCTCTGACAGCATCAGTATGACCTTGATAAGTGTGTGCAAGCTTTCCATTCTTCCATAATCTAATTGTTTTATCAGCTGAAGCTGTCAAAATAGTATCATCATTCAAGGGAAGTACAGCCCAAACAGCTGCTTCATGTCCCTCGAGAGAATAAGCCTTTTGAAATCCTTTCCAAACAATAACCTTCCTATATATATGCTGTCAGATAACTTTACAAAGTACTACAGTAGAAATTACTTGTCCCATGAGCCAGACACAATATAGCCAGATGGTGTTGCCTTTAATGTTGTGACATTCTCAGTATGTCCAATAAGAGTATAAAGAGGCTCAGCAGGCTGATTAGGCTGATAGACATTGATAAACTTGTCAGAGCCACTAGAAACGATTAAGCCTATTGAATGTCAGTTGATAAGCCTTTCTTTCTCCGTCTCTCTGCTTCAATAAAAAAAAACCTTCTGGAAAAGCCTCGTTTGGCTTAATAATGGCCAAAGAATTAACAAAGTGATCATGTCCCAAGTAAATGTTGTGAAGTGAAAAGCCATTAGGTGCAATACGAGACCAGGAACGAACTGTTTTATCACGAGCTGCTGAAATAATAAGGTCGTCCGTTGCTGCTGCTATCGCTTTTATCTAATGAAGAGTAAGTAAAATAGCAGTAATCGAGGTCACAATTACATCTTGGTCATGTCCAGCTAGCACTGACGCTAATCTATAAGGTTGAGCCGACATATTGAGAGGAAGAGCAAAAGAAAAAAGAGCATACGCGTCATTTGCATTGTATTTATTCAGCTATTTACAACCCCGTCCGTGAAACCTTGGGATCTTTTTCATTGTCCAGCGTACGGGTATGATGACCATGTGCCTAAAAGCACTCAGTTGAAGGGTTAGATGCTTTTGAGAATTGACTTTCTCAAAGCATAAACAAACAAGACCCTGGAAAATCCTGATGCAGATATTTTTCAACAATAAGTTTATAGGAGCTTCTTGTTGCATTTATTTTTGTCTTTATTAACTGTTCACCGTGTTTAATAAGGCCAGCAATTGTTCGTACATTGCAAATTGAATGGCTCCTCCTATAATAATTGTTGTGTGAGTAATGCAATTGGTTTATATTTATGAAGCTACCTGGAGCAATTCGAATGATACGAAGCCATGAGCCACGGAAAAAGGACGTGATTCCTTCTTGCTTAGCCATCGATTTTACACAATCCCATGTATTTTTATAGGAACTTCCTGAATCTTGTAATCTATATTCTATCAGTACTCTGAATGATGTGATATTCTTTTATATTTACCTTGTCTTTACAACATCGGGAGGCGAGTTCAAGACACCGACAAGCACATTGGCCATGCCTCCACTAAACTATGACCATGTTAATATACACCAAAGAACTTTGTTATCAACAAATACCATATGTTGCCATGGTTGCAAAGAAGCATTTGGGTCGCTTGAAGCTTTTTGAAACATGGCTTTTAATTCAATATATGCAGTAAATTTAACCAAAAGACCTATATTATAAAGCTTAATATGTATAAAAAACACCATGTAGCCTTACCCCATGACTGTCGAGCCACAGTAGCCAATAACCCACTATAAAGCGCTGTAAATCTAGGTAGATATGCGTGCGTTAGTATCTACTCCATTTTAAGATCCTGCTTCTTTACCCTTCTTGACGAACAATAATTGACGCAGTGTTAATCAGTCCGTGGTACTTTCTTTGCTTTTGATTTTGCACAATCTCAGTTTGTTGTCTTACTTTAATCATTTCAAGAGGCGTTACTATAGAACATTCTTTTTAACAATGTTTCTCCTTTTCTTTTGCGTCATGGACCATACCTAGCGTCACAGCTTGAGTGATGCCCGTACAGATCTTGGTATATATTTTAGTATGAGAAAAGGCTATCGTTCATATACTTTATACTTACACCAGCTAAACCTGCTGAACTGTGTGATGGCAACACTGTTCCTTCTAGTTTTTCAAAGATTGGCTTATAAAACGCTAAACCCATATATTGAAGCGATATCCTTGGCCCTACTATACATAAAACAGGCAGTGTTCCTCTATAAAATGCTATTATTATGCAGGTTAATAACCAACAAAAAGACGCATCCTGTCTTCATTATTCTACCCGTGAATCCCTCTTGTCTAAATACATTTCTAAATGCTTGAACTATTCCTTGCTTATAATGTGTCGAGGCTTGAAGAGACTGGTAATTTTATGCAACAATGAAAAATGATGCTTTGCCTCTCTTTCATAAATATAACCAAATAATTACCTGAAACCGTGTCTTTATAACATCCGTTGGCTATTCAGGGTATTTGATAAAAATAAGCAAAAACGAGAAATGATCTTTCAATCTATATTCGAACCTGCATAATCAATATCTCAACTGTTCCTGCACCTGCACCCGCTAAAGTCGAGTTCTACCAAAATATAAATATTGAATAAAAGGGCGATATCAAGCATGTTGTTTGCTTTACAATAACACTAGGCTTTGCTTTTGTCTGTTCTGCCATAGGATGAATTAAAAGAGAAGAAGAAGAGAAAAGGGGAGTATATGGTATTGGCTGCTAATCGTCAGTCAAAAAGTGTCATATCTATGTGTAACAGCAAACTCAATTCCCATTTGCTGTAAAACAGTGTTTATTTTGGCTTTTCATAGTACATGTTTAGATCGATCCTTGTCAGTAAATCCTTGACAAAAACATCCAGCCCTTTCTTTGCTTCGTGTTTTCCATATAAGTCACGGAACTCGTTATTGGTACTGTTAAGAATATTCCCTAGTCTTCCTGTTCCTTTTTCTTCCAAAACCTTCAATACACGGACAAACAATCTGACATGTCTCTGAAAGTCATTAAATATATGATGACACCTGGTAAGCAATTTATCTTCCTGTTGGCTCCTTGAATAACAATGACTATCAATAGCATTGGCAAATATCAACATGTCTTCAAGTATAGGTTGAAGAGTCTGAAAGATACGTTGCTGACTTTGTTTTAAAAAGCATTGATAGAGTATTCGATCCAAGATATGCTCATGATAGCTCTTAAACATGTGAGGTTGCATAATAACTGAGACATATTCTGATGAACTAGATTCTGTTTTCCTATTTAATTCTTGTATTTGATCCATAAAAATATGCCATGTTTCATTAATAACTGTATCATGAACGTATCCTTGCAGCGAACATAAGAACTGATCAAACTGAAAGCGAAATTGATAAAGCCTGTTTAATGTATCCCCATTCAATCTGAGTTCATTTGTTCTCAAGACACTGTATATCCGCTTGACTGTAACTGCTACTCGAAATAGTTGTAAGAGAAAGATGAATATACGGTTGTACTTTAGTTGAACATTCGACGTGATGACCATGTTTAGTGGATATCTTGCATCATAATGCAACTTTAAAAAATCAAATGCGTTGAAGACTATACAGTTGTGTGTGCATCAGTATCTTTGTTTCAATAAACAGCTCTATTACCGTTAGGATCCACAAGCACTTTGGCTTTCTCTACACTAAATGCAAATAATTCATCTTCCTTTACTGTCTCTAACAAAATAGACCGCAGAGATAGATTGATATCAAAGAGTTGTGATGACCATCTTTCTGTTGATTTCAATCCAATCTTTCTTGTACTTTCAAAAACCATAGACTCGAGAGAAGAGACAAAGGCGCTATTACCAAGTAAGAAAGTATCATGTAGCAACGAAAGATGGTACTGCAGTTTGAATTCATGTAAAAAGGTAGACATGTATGATTCATTTAGTATAGGGCACCATGCCTGTATGGGCTCTATGTAATTTAAGACTACAAACGTATTGGAGGTGGGGATAATGTCGCTACTATTGGCGTTGGCCAACTCTAGAAACTGCTTCAAGTTTCTTAAAAACTCTCCTTCAAAACGATCCTCACTCCATGGTGGTAAATGGAAGGGATTGGTTGTATCTTCAATATGCACTGTATCTTGTACGCTTTCTTTTTGATCTATTATACAATCTTGATTTTTACCAGAGTTATATTCTCGAATACGCTGACAGACGTGCTGTATTTGCTGTAAATAACTGCTTGTATCGCTTATTCGTAGTCTGCACTTTAACGGTAACCTTCTATCCATAAAACATAAAGGATGATTGGGCATAGCCTGTCGTAGAAGCTGCAAGGTAATACCTGACCTAAGAATATGAATAGCTAAATCAACATTAATAAAGTAAGGAAAGATGGTATTTGGCCTGATCTAAATTTTGTATTTAGTAAAGTATATAAGCATAAAACGTGTCCATACTTGATATTCTTCAAATGGTTCGCATGGTTCAGGCGCCTTGCAGATAAAGAACTCTTGGTATGGATCCTCAAGAGCGACATTTCCACTGCTCTCAAGACCAAGCCATTTGCTTAATATATTCAAGTAAGGTAGGTTGGTATAACAAAGCATCATCAAGCAAACATTCCTGTAAAAGGCAGAAGTGCCTGTATGAGCAAGATCAAATAGTTGGATTTCAGTGTATAAAAGATTTAGCAGTTCGGCTCCAAAGGGTATATGGAAATCATATGGCCGAGTGTTTGTGACGGATCCCTTATGTACTTTAGTTATAATTTGTCAAATACAATAGATTAACATCCTACCCCAGCCACGTTTATCTTGCAAAGCTTGTACAATCTCTCACATACCGCGGATAAACTAGCTACATATTGATGCACTTTTAGTATTGATAAATCATCCTTCAATGTATCAAACAGTTGAATAAGTGAGCTTTGAATATTAAAGAGTAATTCTAATAAGCAACAAGCAAATGCCACTCCAGTTGATCCATATTGCCTATATGCTCATTTTTTACATTCCCTCTTCGTATAACAATGCTGAATCTTTCGTCTCACCTTGGGTTTAGTTGACACTGTTTCGCAACGAATTCTATCGCTTTCATATGACTCCCAAAGGTCAAAATACTATCTATAATTGGTTGAATGCTGGATGCTGTCACGCCTGATATACGAAGTGATCGAACAGACTTGAAACACTTTAGCTTGGAATCCCAAGTGAAGTAGATCGAAGGTAAGCCAAGAATAGCTTGTATTAGGCTTATGACCAATGGCCTTTCTTTCACAGTGATATAGCCTGTAGCATCTAATATGGATTCGAAGCAATCAAGTGGTGCTTCTGTTAGAAATGGTGTTTTCATAGGTTGATGTCGAAAAGAAGAAGAATTAAAATTGTCCCAGGACAGCGACTTGTAGTATACAGGCACTGGCTTCTCACTGCTCCATTCGTCACATTCTTCTTCTTCTTCTTCTTTATCATCTAAATCCATACTTAGGCTATTAGTTGTGGTGATTGATTCAGTTGACGTAGGCTCGCTGTGAGTTGTAATAGATTCAGTTAGATCAAAAGGCTGATTAGGAGACAGACTCTTTAAATAAAGCACATCGGCATCTATTTATAAATGAAGAAATAGGTAAGACTGCAACAGATGCTTTTATTCATTAGAATACCATCTTGTCCAAGTTGCCATGGTGAGAACATGGATGGAA